CCGAAAAAAGTAATATCGAATTCTCCACTGAATTGTAAGTCATTTATTGTTTGATAAGGAGATTATGTTTCCGCAGAGAGATCTGGATCGTTGAGAAATGTGATTTATGGCCACCAAGATTTCTTCTTCTTCCGTCGTATCTAAATCTCCATTAATGATTGTGATTATGATATCATGTTATATAGAAAAACATATTTATTTGACTTATTTTTGCTCTATCAAGACTATTCCATACTGAATACATGTAATTTCACTTACGTGGCGCAAGTTTCCCTTGCTATTTGATATTCTGAAATATGAGAATCTGATATGAAATAAAATATGTCTAGTTTCATCCTGAGTGATAGTGATAAAAGATAACAGAAAAAGATAAAATAAGCAATATAAATAGAATATGGCTTTCTTGCTTAATAAACCTTTTGTTTTCTTGCCTAACCAATGAGATAATTTTCCGTAATATGATTTCCTATACGAGATTATTTCGAAATATCGTCGATTTACTGTACTGTATTTAGTCATTTTAAGCAATCCCATGACGTTTTACATCGTTGAAAACTTTTTGGGTACAAATAACTGTGCTTTTCCTTTATATCCAATTATTAATTACAAAAATATAAATTATTTTATGTATATTCTTAAGGGGACAGTGGACGTTCAAATACTTTTTTTAATTATTGTGATAGAGATATGAAATTTTGCATGCATGTATATTTTACTATAGTTATATCAAATATCTTTGAAAAAAAATTCTGGCTCATGGCATTTAATTTTTTTTTTTAATATTTACATATTTTTTTTCAAAATGCTCCATGCGACTTAATTTTTTTCTGTTTCTTGTTATTTTGCTTTACCTTTTATTGAAAATGCATTTCAATTACAACTTAGAATCAATTAGTGAATTGCATAAAAATGTTAGTTTTTAATTAATACTTCTTTCACATATACCTAAATTTTGGACAAAATTTCCCACTTTAATACACTTTAATTGGACTTCTATCCCTTTAATTAATTTCCATTCAAAAATGCATACTAAGTTTTGTTACATGTAAAAGTAGGAATTTAAGTTACAAATCACAATCATTTTGAACATAAACTAAAGCGCATGGAGCATTTTGAAAATGTAATAATCACGAAACATTCATTATGAGAAAAATACATTTTAAGAATATTTTTACGCTTGCCTTTAATATTTACTTCTCAGTATGGCCTAATATATAATTTTATTTAATATAAATTATTTTAGCATTATTTTAAATATTCATAAATAATTTTTCTACTAATAAACCCGTAAGAAATACTTAATATTACTTTAAAACTTTTCTCGAACACTTTTAGCAAATTAAACTAAATACTTTTTTTTAACTAAGAATCACTTTAAAAACTGCCTGCACCATATGTTCGCAACCTGCAACCATATGTTTCCTCTTCCTTATTTACATTGTCATTATGTTTAGCTACTTTACACAGTTTTTAGCAATTCTTCTTTTCTTGTATCCAGATGAACACCTCTGTTTGCATTGGTCTATACGATGTGTATCTTGCCTTTGATCAATAGATATTGAACATGAATTTATATCTTCCTGTTCCATACCTAAAATATTTAAACACTCAAAATTGAAGTTACGAATTGCTGTGATAACAGCTATTTCGAGTCTGTTTTCGATTCAAATGTTTATCTGGGGCAGTTCTTTTAAATGACACTATGTAAACTCTGTTTAGTGTTTTGTGTTTCTCCAGATATGCATCTTTCTAAAAGCTCATTACTGGCTAGTCTTTGATACACTGGCAGTATTTTGGATAAAACATCTACTGTTAATTTGGTTTTTATCATTAAATGAGATTTAGTTTTCTTATTTTTAACAATGCTACTTGGGGGTGGGGGGTCCTTGGTGGTGCGAGTTTGCCGTCTGACTACTTAATCTACTTTGCTCGGCCGCATTGCACGTGCCTGTTGATAATCTCCGGCTAGGTTAAATTAAGAGCCAACTACGTTAGGTATTTGTGTCTAGCTTCGGCTTAGTCTGTTTAGTTTAGTATTATATTAGTTTCTTTTTTTCTTATGTTAAGTTAAAATCCCGAGTGGAAACTTTCCAGTAAGCCCAAAAATGGACCATCTGTTATTATTGCTTTTATTGAATAAAAGTGTATTTTATGCCTTCTCTAGACTCTGTCGTTAAATACACAAACTCAGCGGTACGTCGCTTCTTGGTTCATTAGGTTCCTCTACATTTAACATAGACAAAGTACTGAGGAACATTATAACCTACATTAGAATTAACAGAAAATGACTATATGAAGAATTTATTTGCATATTTGTCAAGTTTTATTTAAGAGAATAAGTTCATTTAATCACATAAATTAAACCAGCGTTTAAAACAAGTACACGCTTTAATCCAAAAAGAACAATGTTTTTGTTTATATTTTTTGCAAAAAGCACATATTTAAATTCAGCTTGTCATTGGCTTTACAAATATTTTATTAATTTTGAGTTTGGTTTATTTAGTTATGGCAAAGCACTCGAAGGCTATGTGCCTAAGGACAGAAATGCTTTCGTGGAGACATTTTAAGGGAAATTGGCTCGTGTACACGTTGCACATGAAGAAAACCACGAAAGCGCCCATGCAGTCAGCCTCGTTCGTCGGGATTCGAATACCGGACCGAACTACCAGTATTCAGGGACTTTACATTCGACTGCTGGCGGAGCTCGAAATTTCGAATGAATCATGGTTAGGTTACGTTGAGTATTTGAGTAAAGTATGCATGTTCTATATGCCTAACGTGAGGGATGGTATCATGGAGGAATGTTTAATGGGAACTGGTTCGTATTCACATTATTCATAAAGAAATCGCGAAAAATCAAACATGCAGCCAGTTCGTTCAACTGAATTTGAATCCGAGTCTAGGTACCAACATCTAGTTATCTTAACAATTCGATCACTGGTAGGGCATCGATGAAATCCAACAATGAGGTCCTTCTCCATAAATGATCGTCACATTCTGGGTTTTATACTCTTCCTAAGTAACTAAAAACTAAAAAAATAAATAAATAAATAAATAAAACATACATATCATTAATGAAAACATAACATAGAATGAACAGCTCTCAGACTGTAAAAAAATGTTAATGGGAGAAGGAATGCTACGAAAGCGATAAGACAAAAACTACGTAATTGGAGATTACATGACGTACATCTGGGGCCTAATTTGCTGAATATTAAAGTGCCACAGCAACACTAAAAATGTAAGTATAAAGAAAATGATTTTTATAGAGTAAAGTAACATGTATTTTATTACTGAAAGAACGGAATTTTTTTTTTAAATCCATTCAGGGACCATAGTTTAATTTTTGAAAAAAGTAAAATTACTAATTTAATTTTCTAATCATTATGTTATAGTGATAAATAAATGTAAGAAAATATTATTTGAAATATGTATGTTTATAGAAAATAAAGACTCTATAGTGCCTGTAATAGCTCAATACCTTAAAAATATGTGCGTAAAACCAAATTAAATAGAATTACGATTATACACGAATTTAAAGCGAAATATGGTCCTAACATTCTTCTGCTAATTTATAGTAATCGAGAATATAAATGGAAACATCTGCTGTAAAAGATGTATCCAAATATGTAATAAAGTTACGCAGCATGAAATTCTGAAGAGGGTGGTAAATATTTTTGCTATGTCTCTTTTTACATTATCTGTCTTTAGACAGTATTTCATTACATTCTCTTCATAAAATTAGTCTGTTCAATGATTTCTCTTATAATGCCTATATCTTGATTACTATAATGAGCTTTGTAACTTCCGTAATTTAAACATGTTTTTAAAACTGAATTAGGATACACATCAAGTATTTCTTTGGCGAAATAACTTTTGACCAGAAGTCTGGAATCTTCAACAGAATTCTGTAGATTTCTTAAATGAAAGAAATCCTGAAACTGTAACTGGCATAATAAAATTTTTAGAAAAATTTTGAAATATATAATGATTGAAGAATTTAGCGGATAAAGAACGGAAAGCGAATGAACATACACAAAGATAGATTAAAACACACATTTATCATCTAATCCTCCAAGCGCCTTCGCAAATATTGCAACTCAGAGAAAATTGATCTTATTTTCCACGCACCTTTCTGCATAGCTGTTTCTCTGAGTGCTGTAATTCGGTAAGGAATATGATTTTTGAGTAGTCTTTCAAATTTACCTTTTTACTGATTAGCATGCTTAGAGGTTTAAAAGTATAAATATTCTAATTAAAGTTTAAAATCTTTTCTATTAACTTCTCTGTCTAATATAAATTTTAAAATGTGATGTGGACACTACATGAGTTCCTTGTACAGGTGAGCGGGAGACAGCGTTAAAATATATATTTCGCTATTTGTTAAAAATTAATTCTTTTTTTTTTTAATCTGGCATTGCCAAACTTGAATAATTTCGTCAATTAAAATATATATTAGTATATGACTGCGACCAACAATTGCGAAAATAAAGGCTGGGAAAGGACTTTTAAGAGGGTATATATATATATATATATATATATACACAATGTCGCATTCATATACTAATACATATTTATAATACCACCGATTGCAATTAAAAGGGACGATGCACAACTAGTTGTAGCAATCCATATACAAAATTCCAAAGTTCACCCTTAATTATTTTTGAGTTATGCTAGGTACATATATACGTACATACGTATGTATAGACGAGGTACGCACGTATAGATGTATGTATAGTATAAGTATGTATAGACGTAAATACAGACGAGGTACGTACATACGTATGTATAGATGTCATGAAAAAATCCCATTTGAATCCATTTTAAATCCATTTTTATAAGCCAATTTAGACATTATTCTTTCTTCTTTGCAATCAACAAAGATTCTTTTTAATATATTATGCGATGTTCTTTATTACGATTGTTTAAAATTCGTACGCAAACTTCAGTGTCCAACTAAAAATAGAAAATTTAAATACCATTGTTTTAAATTCTAGGTACACCATTGACGAAACCATGACGGATGAAGGTGTGACATCGGAAGTTCACATTCAATCAGCTGATCGTAGAGATTCTTCGTTATTTACATGCGTTGCAGAGAATTCCTTTGGCAAAGATGAAATGAATATTCAAATCATAGTCCAAGGTAAATGCTAGGAGTAGAAGATTTTATATGTAGTATTCTTATGCTACTCATTGATAGTTGAGTGTTATATATCAAAATTTAAAACCATCATAATTAGAATTTTCTTTAAGATAAAAGAGCACTCATTCGACTAGAATTAAAATAAGGAACTTCAAATATAATTTAACTTTACAATGATAAATATACGGTAAATCGTTTTGCAAATTTTCCATCCACACTGTCATTTTTTGCAAAAAAAAGGAGAAATCGAAATCATACTAAAATGAAAGAAAACGAAAGAAAAGCTTTTTCAATACATTAAACTAAAAATAAATTATAAAGAATAACTAACTAAGTGAATAAAAGGGGACAGTAACATGAAAAAATGACGGAAGAGAAGTTTTTTCCAAAATTTTCCAAAAAAATTTCAAAAAAAAAAAAAAAAAAGAGAAGTCCAAAATTTTACAGATAATGTAAAATTTTTGAATTTTTTTTATTTATGTAAGCTATTGTTTTCTTACTATAATGTTTCTTTTGCGAGATTAATTGTCATTAATTAGGCTTTTATATATATTACTTACTTTTACACAAAATACAGTATATTAGTGCAATTTATTTGAAAGCCTCAGCATGTTTTATAAAAACTTTGCAAAAATTTCTAGAATGCTTTCATAAGTATGTGTTAAATAACCCTAATGAAATTTAACAAACGTTTTTGCATTAATATTAAGAAAACACGAGTTAATATTTGTAAAATTATTAATTGCTTAAAATTATCATACAGTATATTCATTACAGTCATTGGACTTTTTGGATTAGTATCTAAATCAAAAGAAATATTTATTTAATTATCAATTACGCACAATAATGAAATTCGTGAATTACACCATTGATCACCATACGAAATTAGACAGTCTGATACTTCCATTATATGCTATGAAGATTAAGTCTTAATTCCTAACTTTTAGTTTAATTTAGAAGGGTTTTGATCAGCATTTTTACTTTGTAAACAAAACTTTAGTTCTGAAACTCAGCGGCTAAATTCCTGAATTTTATACATTTAACGTTTGCAATAAATTAGTTACATGTAAATATTTTTCTGTTCATTCCTAAATTTTGCTTTAATTTAAAATGTTTTTGAACAATATACTCACTTTGTAAGGAAAACTTCAGTTCTGAGACTAGCCTTTATATTCGTGAATTTTATGCATCTAAGCTCGTAGTAAATTAGTTATATGTCAGTACTTTCAGTGCTTTGTACACAGTTGCATAACTTTTATACATAGTACAAATTATCGTAATAATATAATTTCTACTAAGTATATCGACGCTAACGTAATTCACGATTGTAACGTGAGTCTGTGATCAACTTAAATCAATTAAAAATGCCAAAAATAAATGCACGTTGTACAAATTTCATTACAAAATATAAAACTTCTAATTTTATATCAAATTTCTAGCTGTTGCTTTTGAAGTCAATGTTTCTTTTTCTAAATTATGTTTGCATGTCAAATTAAAAGAATTCTGACTGTAATTTTATTATTTCATAGAAAGACCAGACAAACCATTCAAAGTAGCAGCGCATGAAAGTACGAGCAGGAGCATTTCTCTTTCTTGGTCACCTCCTTACTCTGGAAATAGTCCTATTTTACTCTATACGATACAGTACAAACCTAATACAGGTAAACAAAATCTTTCTTTGGTCCTCTGTTTGTGAACTTAATAATGAATATTTTTTCTCAATGTAAGAGAGAAAACGTAAATTTTATTAAGAGGTTTAGAACTCTAGTGCAAAACAGGAGTTAGCTGAAAGATATTTCGACATAATTTTCTTAAAAACAATTACTTTAAACACACTGCAATGCAGAAAAATATTGTTGGCTGTTTTGTATGCTGCGAAATGTTTTTAAAGAAAATTAGTTTTTTTATTAAAATATATTGTAGAAAATTAATTTTTTTTAAATGTGAAAATCGCTTAAAATAACATGATTTTATTGAATTTATATTGTAAGGATCTTAAGTTTTACTAACGTTTATTTTTATTTTAAATCTTTACTATCACTTCTTATTTTCTACTTCCGGCCAGAATTAAAAGCTTTAACTTATTTATGCAAATTTGTCTGGCGAACGCCAAGTACTTAAGTTGTGGCTTTTTGACAAGCGAGAGAGAGGAAGAGGTTAGTCGAAGCAGGCCGCTTACCTTAGCAGTTTTACTCAGTTGCTGGTTGCCTTCCAGGCCAGAGGTTTAATCCTCGTGATAATTTTTAAACGTATTGCAGTGTTAACAGTTCTCTGTACTACATACGGCTTCCTGTTAATATAAGGCCAATCTTCCACGTAGGCCCTTGTTTATTATTCAAAAGTTAAGTTAGAGTTTAGTTAAATATTCTTATATTCTTACGTTCAGACCACAAGTAGTTGGTCTCTGTATTCCGAAGTACGGAAATTATTGTAAAGAGTGAAAAAATAAAGGGTTTCGTATACCCTTCCCGTGTATCTTGTCTACTTCCCACATTTATTGAACATAGCTTTAGTAAGCTCCCTGTTCCGAGTCAGGTCCTTGCATGTTCCCAAAGAAAGTAAGGCGGAACATTGAACCTGATAATATAAGGAAGAGGATTGATTAAAAACGTATAATATAAAAGTCGAAGATTTATTGTTATTATTATTATTACAGCTTTGTTACAGTTATACGCTTGTTACAACAATCATTTACTATATTAATTTAAGTTGCTGTAATAGATTGTTACAACAACGACTACAATATATCCCTAGATGGTGGTAATATATTAAATTTACTTGAATTAATAACGACGTTCGTGATAGTGGGTTTTTCTTAGCACACAAGAGCCGTTATATCGCGAGTCGACCTAATTCTTTATTATTATTATTATTATTACACGAAGAAGGCTACATACTGCTTATATTTACTAACTATATTAAGCTCGCAAACGCGTATTTAATAAATTGAAGGTGAATTTAATGAAACGTAAGAATAGTAAAAATGAAAAGATAAGTAACTGTAAAATGGTATTGCATCTCTCTCTACTTACATACTTACTCATACTTAGATACGTACAAGTATCTATGTGCGCATATGTAGTAGTACTGATGCTAAGATTTTCAATTTTCTCTGTTACAATGAACGGTCCTAAACTGCCATTTTTCTGACAAAGAATCATTTCATCCACGAATCCTTCATAGCATTTGATCATTGAATATGCTACATATATAGCTAATAATCACAATTTTATGAAGAAACATCGGTCCGAATTTTTTCTTTCTCTCTCTCTCTCTCTTTTATTTAATGCTCCTTTTGATTTATCTACAGAGATTTATCTTTTTATTATAAGCTTCATTTTTTCCTTTAATTTAAAATTATTTTTGTTTTAGCAATTTTCTGCAAATTACATATAGTTTACAACAGTTATCAGAAATGAATGGTATTTATTCTAAGCAAGTCTAAAATGTTACTAACTTTGATTTCAATCATAAAATAAATGTTATTGAATGATAACATCATGGAATTGAAATTAAATTGGATATTTTTATACGTTTTGATACATTATTTATGACATTTTTGTACATTATTTATATATTTTTTTTTTTTTTTTTTTTCAGAATATTTCCGAATGTTCTGCAGAAATATTTATAATATAAATAATAGATGGCAGCACAAGTCTGACATCTTTAAACAGATACAAATACTAATATGGTCATAAATTCGAAAATCTTAATACCTTTATTTATTATTGTCAAATCTCCCATTGCTGTAAAATTGTAAAACTCTCTAATGAGTGATAAACAATCTAAAATATAGTGCACAATTTTCTAAAATGTGAATTCGAGCTCATCTATTCGTTACTATTTCATTATCTTTGATTTATATAAACTCAATAAATGTTTGCGTGTTAATAACTATGTGAAATATGAAATTTCGGTTATTTAACAAAAATACTGCTTCCAAGACTACTGAAAAACAGATTTAGAGAATGCTATTACAAAATCTTCTTAGTTTATATCTACATAGATGCAAGGACGACTTTAAAGTGGGACATTTTGCAAGCAAGTTAACAGCTTGAAAGCTTTTAGCTGTCAGCTAGTTAACAGCATGGAAAGAATAATGTAAATTCAAAATTTTCAAGAAACAGTGAACGCGAATTTTTTAATTATGTAGTGTTAAAATTTCTGAGACTTCCATGATTGGAGATCTTCCAGTAAAACTGGATTGAAATGACATTTGTAATTAATTTTATTAGTAGAAATTATTTTTCAAAATCACGATGACACCAATTACGTATTGTATTACAGTTATTTAATTAAATAATTCTGTTATTCAGGCGATTCACAAATGATTTCTTTGCCACATAAATAATTTAAAATTAAATTAAATTATAAAAATAATTAATTTTTAGTGAAAATAATTAATAAATTAGATTTGAATTTACTATTACAAAATTAATCAAGATCTTTGGCTTTTAATAATTCATAAAAGAAACCCGAATAAATAAAAAAACATTTTCTAATATTATTAGTAAAACTTACAAAGCGAGACATGATTACATAATTTATTTTAAATGCTTTTAATAAAAATAATTTTAATGACTTTTTTGCGTGCATAAGTTTCTCAAATATTAAGTAAATTAGTCATCAGTTTCTTGAGGAAGATATTTTATGAAATACTAATTAAAAGTAAGTAAAGGCTTGCAATTGCATAATCATATGAAGATAGTGAATAAGTATGGGAACAGATTCTTTTTGATATATGAAGATAGCAAGTATTTAATTTCCAGATATGAATTACGTATTCCAACTATGAATTACGTAAGCACAGCAAGTATTGATTTAAATTTTTATGCTATAGAAGAGATAATAAGAATAAAGTTTTAATTTTACAATCGAGAAGTAAAAAATTATGTTATATCAACGAAAATTAACAAACTGAAGCAATTAATTCATTAGAAATTTTTTAAAGAAGATAATTGTTTATGCTGTAGTTGTAGTGTTGTTATTATCTTTATTTGAAATAGAAAAGTGGGTTCTGAAATGTGTGTATCTTGTTAGCATTTTTTGCTTTAGCTTTTAATTTCCGTTACTTTTTTCGAAGTCCACTTATCTTTAATTGTTTCAGACCATTTTAAGTATTTTTTCCCCCTACTACTTTCTTTAAAATTATAAGATTTAACTTTTTGTTTAGTTTAATTGTTGGCTAGGGAATTTAATTACGTCGCTGTGCTTAATTAGTGTGTTGCGGATTTAACCCACTCTATGTCTGACAATTTTGCTTTGAACTTCCGAAATGTCGACTAGTAATTGCGTTCTTAAGTTCTGTTCATTCTTTGAATACTTTTACTTCTCAAGACAGGGTCTAGCTTCCATTAATTTTCATTTAAAGAATTTATGCTTTGAAATTTATAAAATTTATGCTTGTTTTGAATAAATACAACTTTATACGTTGTTAACATTTTTACTTTTAATTAAAATCCTTTTGTAGCACATTGTCTCCTGTCCATTGCACCTGCATATTTACGTAATTAGTAATTATGATTTAAAAAATGTCTAAATTTTATCACGCAGTTTAAGAAAACATTAATTTGAAATTTTATAAATTAACCCTAGAGGATTTATAATCTCAAATATATATGAATAATAAATATATAAGGAAAAGTAAATTTAAAAAAATGTCCTGACAAAATTAAGTTATGCAAAAGAAACTGCTTAGATTTAATTTTTATAGGTAATTTATAAATTAAACTCATTTCAGAAAATTTAAAGACCTTTTCATCTCTTAAACTCTCATTTCAATATTTAAATAATAGAATCATGTCTTAATTAATATAATAATTTTCTTCAGGAGGCTGTTAAAAGCCATGGTGCTTTATTTACTGATCTGAATACTGATTAATTAATTCCTACATCATCAACTACAATCAATATATACTAGAGTATCAGCTTAACATTTGAATCTGACATCTCTCAAAGTTAAAAAATAATAAAGTTTGGAAATATTACTTGTTTACAGCACATAAAATTCTTAAATTAGAATTAAATTAGAAACTTAAAATTAATTTTCAGATGATTCTTAACTCCTTTACTGCAGCTTTAATTAAAACGTGCAGCAACCTGAAGGCTTATTAATTAATCCAATACGTTTAACAATTAATTAAACACATAATTATACCACAAAATATTACTAAACCTTTTTTATTATTTCTTTCTAACTTTCCTTTGAGTATCTTATTCGTTCTCAAAAATTCTAAAAGACTAAATACTCTAAAACACTCCAAAAGACTAAAAAGATTCTAAAATATAAAAATTCCATTATTGTTAATTAAATGATAGTTACTTAAATTTCTAATTTAATTAAAATTAAATTTTTGATTAAATAATACACTTAATAACTATATATAACTTGGCAGGTAGCTGGAAGGATGACGCAAAGGAAATTACAGCTTCTGGGGCCGATAGTAAAGCTATGATAACAGGACTTCTCCCATCAACAACTTACCATTTCCGAGTAATGGCAGAGAATTCATTCGGGAAAAGTGACTACAGTTCATATGTAGCTGCAACGACGGACTTAGAAGGTAAATATTTTGGAATTAGTCCACCATTTGTTACTTAATCTCGTTTTCAAGATTTATATCTTAAATTTTAAATTGCCAAATATCATTTTACGGGTACGTGTAATAGTTGATATAGTTACTGCTATATTAATTCTTATGCCCTCAGTATGGATATCACTTGATTATATCAATATGAATGGGAGCATATAAAATTCAGGCAATAATGACTCAAGAGATGTCTTCTGTACGAAGATTATGTAAAATTTGAAATGTTATATTAGATAGTTATAGAGTGTTAGATTAATTTAGTTTCCTTGTATAGCTTTTAAGCTTTCGCTCACATTCATTATATGATTTTTTGCTGCATGACATGCAAAAATAAATTTGCTTGTGTAAATACAGTAGAACTCCAATTATCCGAATCAAATGGGAACGGACCCCATTCGGATAATCAAAAATTCGGATAACTGGATTTTTTCCGAAAAACGGCTCTCTGTCCACTTTTGTTAATTACTGTACGCGCTGCATGTTGAAAATAAGAGAAAAAACTATTTCTAAAGAAAAGAAGGTTTTTAATTAATTAAAATGAAAAGGCAACACATTTACGTACATGTTAGATACTGTACAGTACTTACCAGTGCTGAAAATCATTGCTTGTTACGCATCTCAGTCAAAGGAATCTGCTTGACGGACACGATGCCTGCACGTACAATTTCTTAGCTAGTCGTCACATGCTTTAAATGACGACCAGCCAAACTTCTGAGCTAAGATCTTAGCTTTTTCAAAAAGAATCGGACCCGAAATTGGGTTTCGCATACAATGTTGCTTCAAAAACCACTTGAAAACCGACATCTCCTATACTTTTTTGTTGCTGCCGTCATTGATTTTCTTGAAGAACTTCCATCTTCGTTTTCAAGCAGTGACACGAAGCTTAAACGTGTAAGTTTGCTCCTTTTAACGTATGGAATCGTTGACTGTACAACAGTACGTTTTCGTCTTAATTTTTTTCTTAAATTCTTAAAGCAATTCGGATAATCAGCGATTCGGATAGTCGGAGTTCGGATAATTGGAGTTGTACTATAATTAGAGGATAAATTATGGAACTGGATCAAGCATACGGAGCTAATAAAATTTGGCTAAGATGTCATTAAATATTTAGCTTTTGAATTGTGTAGAATTTATATTTTCACCATGTGTTTTAGTTTATTATTGATTAATTCTCGGTAAATAATGCTCTTAGTTCCTGGAGGTCCACCTTTAAACGTTCGAGCAGAAGCCGTAGGCTCACAAGCAATCCGAGTAAGCTGGCAGGTAAGAACTCGCTGTGCATTTTTATTTCTCGGTCACAGGTTTCTAAATTATGGCATTGCTATTAAAATGATATAAATTCTTCCTGTTGTATTTCTTTAATCTTATTTATATGCGTATAATGTAATTTAAATTCAATTAATAATATTTTTATTTATGACTATCTCTTAGGAAATGACGAGTAAATTATTTCAAATAGAATCTATTTAAATATAAAGTTAATTCGTAAGAAGACTCGAATAAACTGATTAAAAACCTGTAATACAAGAAGTTTAATATTGTAATATGAATCATTAAATACCCAAGGTACAAAAAATATAAAAGTATTAAAAAAAAGCCCTAAGTTGCTCGTCATTTCTTTAATTTATATTAATTAATATAATAGGTCGTTGAGTATGTGAGAAATAAAATCAAGCACCGTTTGTAAAACTTGCATTTTACAGCATTAATGCAGAAATTTAAAACTGTGCAAATAATACTTGCCTACATCTTCCTTACGTAGAAGAAATATCTTTTAGCAGATGCAAAGAAAAAAGAATCGGTGAAAATTTTCAGATTGCTAATTTTGGACAATATAATAACGACATCACAGAGAAAAGCTTAAAAATTTGTAAGTTTATTGATAATTGTTAATGAGATACATTCCGCAGGAGAAGAAGAAGAAGAAGAATCTTTCTTGTTTACATTAGCTATACATAAGTCACGTGATCTCTGAGGTCATTTGCAATGTTTGCTTACAAAAGCTATACATAATTCACGTGATCTATGACGTCATCGGAATGCATCTCATTAAGAAGTCAGATATGTTTTTGTATTCAGAATATTACAATTATAAATATAAATTTAAATTCCAGTATCATTAAGTTATTAATTTTCTTTATGTTGCACGGTGGAAATAAACTGATATTCAGTACATTTCAATTTCACTAAAGGAATTTTCTGAATTCTAGGCTATTGCATGTATAAAATATCGTGCACACATATGAACAATGATGCTTTTACGTAAACAAATTTCTGCTTTCAATATAAAACTATTTAAGGAACTACATTTTCACGAAATTAACAAAAAGTAATGATCTCTCACTACAAATTCTAGGCATTCAATTTAAATTAAATTTGGGCCTTTTCATTTTCTCATCAGAGTTATTCCGGATTAGTTTAGCATCATTACGTACGCAAAAAATACCTTTATTATCTAACATCTTAACAATGTCAACAATTTAATTAATTTAAATTTATTTAATTAACATCTTAACCATCTTAACAGTTTGTGAAGATAGAATTTTAGAAAAACTTGTATTAAAATTCCGATTATTGTTTTTTCTTACAGCCTCCAGCACCCAATCTACAAAATGGCAGATTAGCTGGTTATTATGTGGGTTATAAAGTCCACGGTTCCACAAAACCTTACACGTACAAAACGCTGGAAATCACTGACGCTTTCCGAAATGAGTGCCTCATAACGAATCTGAAGAGGGTAACAACCTACAGTGTAATTGTTCAAGCCTTCAATAGGCGTGGTGCTGGCCCACCTTCAGATGAAATCAAAGTTCGAACAAAAGACAATGGTAATTATTATAGTACGTCTGCTATAAAATCTCAGACTAATGCGTTTAATGGATTACGCATTTATTAGAAAATGGAATTTTTAATAGTGTTCTTGTCATGCTTATATGAAATATTCTTCTAAGTCTGGTTATTATTTTTAAATTGGAATAAAACTATGCTTATATAATAAAAATGCACTGATTAACCCACACCTTATGACAAAACACTTAGAAACTCATTGTTTGATGCTGCAATGCAAACCATCTGGGATGTGTCGTGGCATGGATATTGCAGATCCTTGATAGTTATTATGAATTATGTAAGTATGTATTATGAAACAAGATCAATGTATGCCCTTGTGTCATCCATGAGGTGAGTTGCGGAGTCTGGACAAGACCCGAATAGTCTTGTATGCATGGGTGTTCAGACTCTGCTCTCAACTGTCGACAATTGTCATTTACATTACTACTATGAGAGCATTTTTACAGCGTTAGGATGTCATATTTTGGCTGCTGATCTCCGAATGTTTGTAATGTTTTATGCATCTAATATGTAATTATATTTCTATATCAAACAATTATTTATCTTTTAACTCATAGTAGAAGCAAATGCAATATATTTTACATGCATTGCATACGAATGAATACATATATAGGTGTACTTTCGTAGTTTCAGGTACCCACTGTAGCAAATATAGACAGCCGTTTCTATAAACACTGTTTCACGGAGTACTGTCGCATCCTAAGTCAGATCAAATAACCTCCGGGTACTTACTTATGAAACAATTTTAAAGATTTAATGTTATATAACAAGCAACCAAAATTCATAAATGTACAGCTATATGTTACATTTATGCAATTTATCAACAAATGTTTATTAAATGTCTTTTTCGTGGAACTATTTATGTCTATTCAGAGTTTATCATAATTCATTGTATACATATACTAATTTTTGTAGAATACTAAATGCATGGCAATCAATATATAAACCCAGAACGGAGTTGAGTATTCATATAGGTATGTGGAACAATAATAAGCCACTATTTTTCTTTTCTTTTCATTGTTACTCAATTGTAAATCATAGTAAACGGAACTTGTGAAAATATTGACGATGATTTCACTTTGTAATTGGGAATTTGGCTTTCTTAAATTTACTAAGAATTAGAGACTAAAAATAATAATAATAATAAAATAATTAGAGACTAAAATATTATTCAATACTAGTATTCATTAATTATTAACTAATAGTATCTACAACACATTAATTATTGGAATATGACAAAGCTCATAAGGAATAATTGTCTAAGGAGATGAATGCCTTCGAGGATGGCTATCTAGGAAAACCTGGCTCACATTTTGAGTGGGGAAAACCAACCACGTAGTTATCCTGTTCACTTGGATCGAAGCCAGGTAGTTTTAAAAGAATATATTTTCGTCTATATCTATTCATCTATCTGCCTATCTATATGTATGTATGTAGGTAGTTATGTATTTATCTACCTATCTATCTATCTCTATACATATGTAAGCATAGTGGAAAGAATGAATATTTTAACCTTCAATACATTTAAATCATAAAAAGAAAGGATTCCTTAATTAAAGCTGTTATTTTTATAGATCCGCCAACAAATCCGATTATGAGCGTCAGTGGAACGACCCATACTACCATCCAAGTGCAGTGGGAAATACGGTCTTCAGCTTCTAGTCCAATTGAAGGTAAATCAAGGCATGCATATAAATAATCGCTTTAATTTTTACATTACTTAAATTTTTATGCTATGTTTGGAAGCGAATTTGAGATTATCTATGTTGGGAAAAAGGCTGCTGATACATAGAAATATTTTATTTTATGCCATTATTATTTTCCTGTAATTTCGCTAATTGATAATTTTGTATTTGCCATACATGTCTGCATATCTTCATCTAAGTTGCATGCAGACCATTAAATGCCATACTTAGTTGGTGTGTTTTAAAATGAAGTATTGAACATCTAATTGATGCTCATGAAAATAGTGCTAATTGTCATAACTTGAGAATTTCACTGTAAAACGTTTTTTAGTGTGTATTTCATTTGGATTGGTTTTCTGAATAATTAAAAAAATATTGTCATAGAAAATTTAAGAGTCAGACGACTCGACATATAAACAAGAAGGTAAAATACTTCGCTTTAAAAAATATTATCTCCTTTCGTAATCTTTATTTGTCCAATAAACCAGATAGGAATAAAGAAATTAAGTGATGCATAAGTGTCAGAACTGTTGCATATTACGTTTAAGAATATTTTAGGTGTGAATTATTCATTCCGCAATAATAATGCGCACACTACTTGAAGCATGCCAAGATTAGGTTAATGGATATTTTCTTTCTATAAATAAACACATCCTTTAATGGGGCGTAATACCTATAATAACTGTACTTTTTACACTTCAAAATATATTCATTTCCTCTATTATGCTTCAATCAATTAAAGTCTTTCTATCCCCCCCCATTAAAGAATCATTTGGATTTACATTTATACTGGTGCATGAAGCCGATATGGATAAAATCATTTGGAAAATTCTACTGGTATTTTTAAAATGCTACAAATTTGCGAGAGCATGTAAACCCATAAGCCCTATATTTATAATAGCGTATTTCTAAACCAAAGTTTGAAATCGATACTATAAAAGTATCATTGCAGGATTTAGATGCATTGCATACGTAAAATATCACCTTATTTTAATATTATTTCGGCAGCTCATCTCAAAATCCGCGTTTGTAAATACAAAACAGAAAATGTAACACGTTTGCATACCTTCAAGACAACTATGTAATTTTTCTCTAGTGCTACTACTGCCTTAATGTTTTGCAGGTTTTCATCTTCACTTCAAGCGAGAATTAGGCGGTTGGCAAGAAATACAGGTGCCAAGCAATAAGAGAGAATACACTTTTGAAAATTTGCAGTGTGGTACAAGGTACCACTTTTTCATGACTGCTTTTAATGAAGTTGGAGATGGACTACCTAGTGATGCTGTTACTGCCAAGACACTGGGGGTAGGTAGGTACTTTTGGTCTTGAATATATGCTTTGCAGCCTAAGATTTCTTTTATTCATTGCATTTATGTCCTCCGGGTATGCAACTTTAAACTGTGTGTATGCATTACCACAGAAATGAAAATAAATTAATACTTTCAGGGATCAACTTTGTCTTTGATTCCATAGTTTGTGTTTATCCATTAGAAATCTGAATTATTAACACTTTCCTTCTTTTAATTCTTAATAATCTGGTTTTTATCCCACTGACACTAAAATTATAAAGTTTGAACTTTTAATGTATCTTATTTTAATCACTTCTGAAGTAATCCATGTAAGCGAAATAAATAGCCTGAAGATATATAATGATGATCCTTCAAATGTCTTAAGTTAGTAGAAAAGTAAAATACTTAAAAAAGTAAAACTATATGTCATATAAAATAGAGTGAAAGGTTTTCTAAACACCAATTATCATGGTCGTCATTGCTCGTCGTAGAGGGATTTGTTTAACACTTGTAGGGTCCTCAGGTTAATTGGAAAAGCCGGAAAGATGCAAAATGAACAATCGCCTTCGCCGGGAATCGAACCACGGAAACACCGGTCCAGCGTGCAGAACCACTACACCACGAAGGCACACTTGAAAAGCGGGAAAAATACCTTATACACTCATGTACAATAATTTAGTGATATATGTTATGCAGTATGTTCCGGAAATGTGGTTAGAGTAGCATTATTCTTAAATATTGCTACTAGATATACACATCTATTGTAAAGCGGCGAATCTGTGAATCTATAACATCAGAAAAATACATCCGCCCCCCTCCAAAAAATGTTTGCATTATTAAATATAAACTTGCCTTCATTAATAGGAATTCAACAAAGTGTCCAGAAAACATGGTTACGGTTTCTGGTCTCATTAATTATTGTGTCTAGGCATACATTTCAGCCTTATTTTTTTTTTCGAAAATTAAAAAAAAGGCTGAAATGTATGCTTATTTTTTTTTTTCGAAAATTAAAAAAAATAATAATAAATAAAAATAAATAATGTAAACATTATTAACTTTCTGAGAAAGGAAGCTCAGTAAAGATAAGGAAGTCTATGAAAGCCACAGAAAAAAATTTTAATAGTATTCTTTTAATTTATTAAATTAGATATAAAGCATTCCACACATTTACAAGCATATTTTTTAGATATATATGCGCAGTTTTCAGACATGTGTAGAAATGCACGCACTTTTATGGAGCCCGCTATAAACGCTATAACAAAATTTGTATTACGCAAGGAAAACTGTCGATGGTCATTAAGAACAATTTTTGAAATTCTGACTAACGAGTCTTCAGCTTTGCTTGATGTTAGCCATTAAGAAGTGATCAAACATTGGTAATACATTCAGGAATTCCTGCATTCTTGTTTTTGCAAATACATGAAACCTTCTATGTTTAACGTATACGTATAATGAATATTTTAGTAACTGCAATTTATTTCCTCTGCGGATGTCACATGGAAAGTTATATGTGACAGTGGGTTTCCGCATGTTAAACACAAAATCACACGTACTAGCATATAGGATAAAAATTAAGCCTAATGCGAACAAACTGCAAAAATTCGATGTCGAACGTTCTTCATAAAATAACTGTAAGTTTTAATGTGGTCAGTTGTTATCTCTGAAACCACCATTAAATGTAAAGCACAAATGCCGCGTGGTCACCAAACTCAAGGCGGGTCACACACAGTCGGTCGTCTCCAAAATGTTGGGTATTCCCACAGTATGGCCTTAGAAAATCTGGGATAAAATTTAAAGCATGGAAATAGTCAGCATTTTAGTGGTAAATGTCATGCGAGGATAATTGCACTGGAATCAATTCTTTTTTCATTGCTAATGCGATGAAACTGTTACTTATCCACTAAAAAGTTGACTTGAGACCTCTGTCTAGCCACTGACACTCAAATAAACAGACCTTTTGCTTCAGGAGATCTCCATGGTACTGGCCTTTGTTAGAGATAATTACTTTGCGTTCTTACATTCTTCATCTTCCAGAGGAGAAAGTTAAATTCACATCATATCATTGTCTAGGAAGCAAGAAAATTAGTACAGGGGCTAACAATTGTTGATCCCGGGATATTTGAAACGAGCACAGTAAAAGGGAACTTCAATAGCATGTCCATGAAAGATTCCATGGCATTTTCATGCAAGCGGTTTCATTATATAGGAAAGATTTTTGAAAAACGGTCACACCGAGCTTCTTTTCTCCGAACTCTGTAGCCCTACAAAATATGCGGTTGGGATTTTTCCCGCTCCGCAAGTGAGACTCTTTATATTCTTGCCGTGCATTATTTTTGCTCATGGATAGCAACACTCTACCTCATGAAGTTACTAATGTGGCGGAATGATTTGAAAGTAATGATGCTAATGAAATAAAGTAGCCACTACATTCGCCTTACCTTAGCTTTATTCAGCATGCGTGGAATGTCCAATTGTAGACAACTGGGTAGGCAAGAGTAAACAAAAGGTGGACCAGAGTGGACAATTACTTCCTCCTCAGAGTTCCAGGGAACTCAAATAACTCCTTTTTGAAGAATCAAGTTTTACATCACAGGATTTAACTGACATTTTAGTTAATAATGTAACAAGATATTATGAAGCATGCATTTCCGTTAGAGGAATTTTCACAGACTATTAAATATTTATAACTTCGAGAGCGGAAATGAAGCAGATTTCCGTTAACTTTTGCGCATTAATTTGGTATTAGAAATAATATTTTAGTATTATTCAGATTACAAATAACGTAATATGTCTTTATAAATGTTTATCTAGAGTTTATATGCGTCTTTTTCTGCTGAAGCAAAAGTTTAATTTGATATGGATAATTATTCTTTAATTGGGAACAAAAGTGTATCTATGAAATCTCTTGCCCATTATTGCTGTTTTCAAATCTTCTGCTGTCCAGATACTTTCTTTTTTATTTTGATAAATTCTCTAACTAAAAATTAATTCTGAGTATCAATATTGAGGACAAAAAAGTATAACCTCTGTTTTGACAAAAAGTACATAGTAATTTTAAAAAGTTCATTACTTTTTTCCTAAATATATATAGTTATATATATACCGTAATATAATAATAATACTGTAATAATTTTGTAAATATTTATATATAAAAGTACTAAACAAGTAAAATTTAGTTATGATCTTTAATTCTAAAAATATTAGGAAAATATATCACATGAAATGTAAAGCTAGAGCACGCTTAAGGTTAACAATTAATAAAAATTCAAGAGTTGCTAAATAACTGAATAAAATTATTTTATTCTTAAACTAGAGTAAAACATTCTTCTTATATGCATCAAACAACATACACACAAGCATATTAACTTATTAGTATATGTATTAAATGATTGTGTATGAAATATAACCTCTTCCATTTCATTTACGTAATTCAGTTGGCAACCATGATCTGAAGTAATATGCAAATTTTCATCATTTAGAAGAAATTTACTTCCACAAATCTCCATTCCTACAATTAATTACTTGAATGTAGGTAAAGTAGTTAAAAGCATTACTGAATGATAATGAGACATAAAATTTTTCTTGAGTATTTTAGCATTTAAAGAGTACTAAAAGAGCAGAAAACTGTTTTACAAAATTCTAACTTTAAGGATGCTTCATAAAAAATGCAGTACATAAATATTTTAAACTTTTAAAATTTACCTCAGATGCTTGCTTTTACTACTATATTTCGATGAATAAAATACATTACAAACATTTTCAACGTTATAAATTGCTGTTTCTATGCACTTCCCAAATGGCATCTTGTATATCCAAAGATCAAGTTGATAGAGCCAAAATCTCTCAAGTGCCATTTTATATATTTTATGGTTATTTATCAGCTATCTTAATTCATTATGATAGTCCTATGTAGAAGCAGTGTTTCTTGAGAATTTATGACTGTCTATGTTTCAGTTCGTATTCAGATGGGGTGAATTATTAACCAATATATATCCGTCAGTACTCTGCATTCGTTTTATAAGCGACTCTAGATGTATTAGTTCATACCCGAATACGACAGACGATATAATTATTTTATTTAAATCTTCAAGAACATTTAAATATTAATTAGTTTTATATTATGGGAGGAAACGGTAATTATGCACCACACAGCCACGAATTTACACCACACTGTGCATGATCTTACATTATGAGAGATATTGGTAATTATGCACCACACAGCCACGAATTTACACCACACTGTGCATGATCTTACATTATGAGAGATATTGGTAATTATGTGATTTTAAATACTTTCACTAGAAACAGTTTTTTACTTCCTTGTACGAAATAAAAAAGAAGTACTGTAATCGCGAAAAGTTTCAGGCAGCATATTTCAACGAAAATATCCATTTTGACCACTATCGAATGCAATTTAACGATGTTTTTGCGTGATATATGTACGTAAGCAGAGAATAAAAGACTCTTTTCCTCCAAAAAAATTATATACTGCTTTAAAATTAATTCTGATGATAATTTTTCGTGACGTCTGTACGAACGTATGTACGTACGAACGTACGTACGTGTCTCGCATAACTCAAAAACGAGTAGCCTCAGAACGTTGGAATTTTTCATATAGGACTGCTATAACATGTAGATGTGCACCTCGTATTTTGGTTGCAATCGGCCGCACAAAACGTATATAAATATATTTACCTATATATCCGCTCTGTTACCCGGCTCATTTGATCTCAGTTTCTTTACTCTTATATGTTTGTAAATTGTACATTTTTTGCTTTAAAAAGGATTGAATTATGATGTTCTTATCTTCCGGTTAAGGTTTTTATGCCTTTAGTAAATCTGTATGCAATATTTTTAGAATTATCAACAGTTGTTTAAGTGCCCTAAGCCTAATAATGTTTTTGATGGCGGCCATTGCTTGTTTACATTTAAACAGCAGAATAGTGGATTTCTTGCCAATCTAGAGAAACTTACCTTCGCAACAACAAAGATAACGCTTTTATTTATTATTGCGAATTAAATCATGCTTAATCTTTTCTGGAATTTTTTCGAGGAAATAAGTGTTTAAGATTTACTTCGTAATTTTTAATACAGGTATTTTGAGTTTTTATGTATTTTTGCCTTGTCGCGAAATGAGAACTGAATTAATTGAATGAGAAATACTCAATCGTCTGCGAAAAATCTGTTTTTGTTTTGTTTTGTTTGCTTAATTTCTTTTATACATCGTTCTAGCTTTATTATAGTATTTGAATAGAACATCTGGCAACGATTAGATAATTGTTTAAATGATATAAATTTTGTGCATTCTGAGTTATAATATGAACGAAATATAATACTGTTAAGTGAACCTAGCGCCAGAGTGTCGCTATGGTAAACAAATAGAGTGAATTTTAAAGAATGCATTTATTTGTGGTTTATGCGCTGTCGGCGAAGTAGGTTTAATTCAATCCAATAAGTTTAAACGAAATGCAAGAAAAAATGCCTATAATTTAATATTCCGTACAAGGAAGTCTTGAGGTGTACACATCATATTTTTATAATTCATTGTTCTTTCTAACATCATTATTAACAGAGATATCAAAATAATTTTTTTCTAAAAGTAACTCTCAGCAGAGATAAAAGTTAAATTTTTCTGCATTTAAACTGTGATATATCTCCTGATAAGTAATATTTAAATATTTATTCTCAATATTTACTCATTTTAAGTCTGCGAAAAATTGAGTTGTTATTTTGTGTTGAAAGTCATAATTCTGTAAAGGATTTTCTTGATGATTACGTGACTTTTACTTGAAGTTGATATTATATAAGATTTTCTTTACAGCACCCATTGCTCCAAGCCAGCATAGCTTTCTGCGTGCAAATGCCACGCACGCCGTCCTATACCTTAGTGAATGGAATGATGGAGGTTGTGCTATCACGTTCTTCGTAATCCAGTACCGCATGAAGACACATAGAGAATGGACGCTTGTGTCTGATCACGTGCTGATGCAGTCAGAACCCTTTGAACTGGATGGTTTAACGCCTGGAACTTGGTATAGACTCCATATTATGGCTCATAATGATGCTGGACCTACTCAAGCGGAATACACTTTCAGCACCAGTATAGTTAATGATGGTAATGTTTGTTGATGTCATTTTGAGTATCAATAATACAATAACCTTATATTTTTTGCTTATTATAAGATTCAAAATATTATTTGTATATTTTTGTGGAATTTTAAAAATATCGTTACCTTTTTGGTCTTTCGTTTTTCTTTAATTTTTGTTATCATTAAATGTACGTTATATAAATTTATTGTTTTATTTTGGAATTATAAGAATAATGCAGATTATATCACAGATAAAATATGGATTGGTTTTATGATAGACATCCGTAATTGTACACAATATAGTGCATTCTGCAACGCATTGGATAATAAATATCTTTGACAAAAACATACTTTATTTAAAATGATGTTTTTATTTAATTATTTGTTCTGTCTAAAAGTAGTTATCATCAGTTATAAAATTCTTCATTTAAATTGTTATATCAGAAAACAGCTAAGTTGACTTTTCAAGCCGTTTATTTGTAAAATAGCAGTACTCCCTATTTTTTTAATTGTTAATTTTTTATTTTTAATTGTTGTTATTTAATTGTTAATCAAATTAATAATGACGGGCTTGAACTGAAAGCCATTTTTATATCGAAATTTGAGATTGAACAGATAACAAGGAAATAATCTTAATGCATTGCTCATATTGTGTTAAATATGTTGTTATGCAATTATTTATTTTTAACACATATTATATATCATTTAAAAACATCAGTTTGAATTAAAAGGGATACAATTCTGTTTCCGGTTACGAGTATGGCATAGAGTATTTATAATATACTTATATATGCAGGTAAATCATGTGATCATACTGAACTGCCTTTTATTGCACATTATAATGATAAATTTGCAATGAAAATTATATCGTACCACTGTAGTTGAACGGCCGCACAATTACTCATCTGTCTATCAGATTTATGGTTATATATTTTCGATGCACAGAGTTCCTCAAATTTGAATTCTGATTATACACCACTGCGTTTAAACCGACAATCACCTTTTAACCCTTAAATGCATGTAGTTACCGTTTGGTAACATAATCATATTTAGTCATATAAATTAAATAAAAACACAAATTTTAGCTTACTGCATAGTGTAACCAATTGGATACATACTGTTTACGTGAATAGTTTTGAAAATTTCAATGTGGTGGCACCACTAACGCTGTAACGGTCATTATTATGAGTTGATGTGTAGGCTGTGCAGATCATTTGTATTTACGAATTTTTGATTTTGCGTTTGTTGTTATTTTGATTTATTCAAAGTTTGAAATTGTTTGAAAGAGTTTATAAGGTATGTATTGTTACACAAAATTGTTATTACACATTTGTCTATCATATTTTTTGGAAAAGTTAATAATATTTTTTTCAAACCTGAAATAAAAACTTAGTTTAAATTTTTGTTAGTATTTTTTCTATTTTATTTATGCATTTTTGACTTTAAAATAAGAATAAAAATTCATGCGTTTAACACTGTATTATTATAATTGCTGTATATATTTATACGTATGAATGTCTGCATGTTCTCTAGTTGTGTACAAAGTTTCTTTCTAGACTATTTCTTGGAACTTGTGCAGCAAATTTGGTGATAGGTTTTGTTCTTTTCGAGCAAATTCCAATCTACCTCATTTCTCCCCTTAGTAACAAAATAGCTGACAAAATTAGGTAACCGCTGTCGATTACCACTCACATTCCTTTCTGCTGCTAAATTATCAGGCTTACCTGAGGGATTGTGGCTGTACCATTTTGTAAGCTATGCCGAATAAAGAGAAAAGTAAAACAAATTAACAGGACTCTGAAATGAATCTTAATGCTTTAAAAGACTGGACGAAGAAGAGAATATTAATACAATTGCCAAAATTTAGGTTTTGAGGGAAACATTATGATAATGTGTGAATAATCCAATCCTTCTTCCATAAAACTCGACATTTTCAGTAACTCTTCTCCCTCTCATTCTATATTACGGCGCGTTTGTGGAAATCTACTGTATAATCAATTATCTTATTTTCTGGATATTTTCTCCTTTACTTGACAGTATATTTAGTTTTCAAATACATCATTTGACTTTTCTAATTATAGGCATGTAATTTATTCGATATTTATGCACAGTTTACGCCTTTATATGTACTTCTTATTTACTTTATAATATAACTGTAGGTGTCTTGTAATTAGCATGGAAAGTCGTAATGTCAATATTCTAATCAAAAAAAAAAAAAAATGTTAGAGGAATAGAACAGGTCACCTTCGAAATACACTGGTTTGAATTGCTTGGCTTGGATGAAGATATTTCCTAATAAATATATTAGAAATAAACTTTGAATATTTAGAGCTGTTTTAAAACATCTAGCGTGCAAATTAGGTAGTCTACAATAACCAAAGAATCTTTAAAAATTCTGAATTTTTAATGCAGAAATATATACAAACAGCAGTCTATTTTTGTTATTTACTATGAAAACATAAATGCAGTTTTATTATAAAATGTTAAAATTTACCAACATATTTGCAGAGAACCACACAGCGTTACAGCCAGTGAATGAAATACAGGCAAATATAGAGAAAGCAAATAAAATAAACTGTACTACACTGATGGAAAATTGCTAAGGAAAAATCACAAAAATGTTATATAGAAAACGTGTGGTTGGATGCCAAAGTAAATAAAAGAATACCAGAATGCTAAGATATAATAATGAAGATAATTTAGAGTGCTCTGAAATCCAGAAGGCTTTGAAAAATGTTCAAGGGACAAAATGGTTATTTTGTGCTGAATACTTAAAAGTGAAAAAAAATGCAGTTACCGTTCGCAGGCATTCTGGCATAACATGCCAGTGCAGGACATGCCCAACATGCAGGGTGACGCAAGATTTTACACGTTGTGTAAAATATTATTCAATAGCTGTTGGGGGAATTTATCCCATTTCTCTGTCAGCGCACAGATGAGGGTGCCCTTGTTTATTGGAGAGCATTCTCGACGAGCAATACACCTCCCCAAAGCATCCTAAACATTTTAAATATGAATCAGATCTAAATAACATGCTGCCTATACGAGGTATTGAATATCCTCCCTGTCTAGACATTACTCAACAACAACTTTTCGATGACATGGTGCGTCATCGTCTATGAAAACAAATTTATCACCGGCAGCACCAGGGAATGTGCGAGCATGAGGCAGCAGAACATCATTAATATATCTTTGGCCAGTCACAGTTCCAGCTGGAAATATATAGAACGACGTACAGCCACTGATCATTATCTCAGCTCACACCATGACACTACATTTAGGATATTGGTCCCTTTTCCTCTATGTTTGACGCACTCGGTGCAGTACTACTCTTGTGCCACATCAGTTGTCGTCCACAATCAGACGAGAGACCGAACCTACTTTCATCTGAGAATAGTACACAAGCTCAGTCGTCTTCCCTCCAATGGCGATACTGACAACACCATTGTAAACTGTCGGAACGGTGACGTGTAGATAATGGAATGCAGACATCAGGACGGCGGGCGAACATATCAGGACGGCGGGTCTTCCTTGAAGCAAACAATGGCTACAGTTTTTCGGGAGCTTCACTTGCCAATAGCAACAAAAAACTGATTTGGTACCTCAGTAGCTGTTACTGCGTCGGTTCCTTTTTGTTGGTATCACTGCGCACCTATCTTCTGCAGACGTCGTACTGAGAACACAACCTTCCCCGTAATGTTTGCTGCATATTCTGCTTGTTCGAAATGATTTCTAAAACCTTGAAACTGCATTGTGACTGAGGTTGAACCCCCTAGTAATATATGTTATTTTTCACCTTTCTTCAATCTTAACAATAATATGGCCATACGTACAATCATGTAAGTGATGTCGGGGAGACACATTGAAATTTTCAAGTTCGTTAATTGATTTTTCCCCGACAAATTTTGCTTTTGAACAGCAACGTCAATACATGTCAAATCGTTTATATCTCTTGTCAGCGCTATCACGTGACAAATTCAGCATTCCAAAATTTGCTTACGATACAATAATCAATTCTTACAATAATCTTATTGTATCCTCCACTTATGCCAATGTCCGCATTTTCCACGCTTTAATTGTGTGGTTGCTATTGCTACTGTCATCCGTCCTTAGCAATTGTCCGCCAATGTATATGTGTTTTGCAGTTCAAATAATTATGTGACTATCTCCCACTACCGTAGTGAAATTAACTGTTGCGAATACTTGCTTAAAGTGAGTCATATAACACTCATATCCACTTGAATGACTAATTCATCAGTCCAACAAACTGATTATACAGTAAAGCGTAACTACCTATAGGCCTTCGATATTTTTGCCGTATTTAGTATATTATTACAAACCTTAAATAACACATTCATTTTTCAGATCATTCAAATGGTTAAATATTGTAATAATTCGAAACAAAATTTAAACTCAGTATTCTGAGATAAAAAGATACTAATTCAATAAAGTGTTTTACTTAATTATGCTAATGTGCAAAAGTGTTTATTTTTTATTCACTTTCAGGAAACTCTATCACACCCATAATTAAAGGCACCGCTCCATTTTATACAAACCTTGCCATCGTTGCACCAGTCGTAGTAACCGTGGTGATTCTTATATCTGTGTTGATTGTTGTCTGTGCCCTGAGCAGACGCAGAAGAAATGGTGATAGGCAGTATGATGGTGAGTATATTATCAACTTAGATTGTATAAATACTAAATTTGAATTAGAAAAGATTATAGAAGATTCAAATAAGAGAAATAAACAATTAATTAAAAAATGAATTATACAGCAATTGTTCATGCAAGTTAAAATCTGCATATAAAGCTCAGTAATTAATCGTTTCAATTTTATGGTATTTCTAAATAGTTTCCTTCCTAGCGCTTAGATTAACAATAAATCCATTATCTGCATGAAACAGTATGCAATTGTTGCACTGAGGTGCCTGTTATTACAGAACTGTTTTATTAATTAATGATAACATCAATTTTGTCATTAATTAGCTTCTGTATAAAAAAATTCTTAGTTATTTTATATATTCACAATTTTGTTTAATTCTATTCGTGTATTATTATTAATTTTGTACATATGTAAATAATTTTAGTTAAATTGTATGTGAAATTGTTCTATGCTTTGTATAATATAACATAAAATACTTGAAAGAGAAGCTTTGCAGAAAAAATAAGAATACAGGGACAAATGTATGTAACATTGAGGTCAATGGCTATCTCGTTAAACGGGCGAGATATCGTCAAGCTGGCGATCGTTTTCCCGATTAATTTTTGTCGCTAAATTTCAAATCTTCAAAATCGAGAAATTTCCAAAAGTCGCCATACGTGGCGATCATTTAGCCATATTTTGAGTCTGTCTCTCAATAACTGCAATAGTTATTGTAACTAAATGTCTGTAATTGATCATTTGGGTACCTGTAATCGTATTCGTCTCTCGTATTGCTTTCAGTAGTTTCGAAAAGTGGAAGGTACTAGAGATTTCTCGGTGGCTGAGAAAAATGGTCTAAGACTGGAGAGAGCATTAGTTTCTCAGTAGTTGTTAGATCAGAGCGACTTCTGAGCATTGAGATATACCTAAAAGTTTCGCCTTTTCGATGTGCTTTGCATTGCGTTGTGTTTAATGTTCTTAGTAGTTTAGAGCATAAATACTGATTATGCTCTGTGATACTGAGGAAAGCTGTACGAGGGCTTTTGTGGATGGTTCCAGAACTGTAAAGTGTTTTTCTTTTAGTAAACATAAATTTTATCAAGCTATCATTGGTTCTGTGCGCACGCAACACTATGTTTGTAAAGAAATCTCAAGAGCCAATTTACTTGACATTTAAGGGAACGGTGGACTTTAAAATAGCTAAAAATCAACCAAAATATTGAATTTATTTTTTACTCTTGTAATATTCCACATACGTAACTACATCATATGCAAAAAACCATGTTCAAATATTCTAATTTTTAAAGAAGTTACAAGCATTTAAAATGTGCAAACAGCGTAAACTTGGCCCTTTACATTTTGTTGAAAATGTTAAAAAATTTATTTCAACAGTTATTTGCTGATGTTATAATTTATATATTTGACCAAAAGAAGTGTTTATTTCTTAAAAGAAGTCTAGAAATGTCAGTATGTTGTAAAGCAATAAAACAAAATGTTGTAAAGCAATAAAAAATAACTGTGAATTTACATGAAGTAAAACATTGATGCGATGAGTTTAAAATTTTCATTGATTAATGCATAATTATTTCTACCTCTAACTTCGATCACATACCAATGCGATATTTTATTTTCTCAAATTTAATATTAGATTAAAAATAATTAATGTACGAAATGTTATCCAGTGTCTATATATTCATATTTAAAGTTTTTGCTATTTCTCATGCCCGTGTATAAAGTTGAAGAAAAACTTTAATCGGTTTTACTCAAAAAATTTTTTTTCGCATTTCGTATGTCTTGAAAATGTTCTATCCGTCTCATTTTAGTTAAAATATGATATTTTGGGAAACTGTCTTGTATATGTACAGTAATCTGTGTATGAGTTTTGGATGTGATGTTTTACAAGTTAAACTGTAATAATTTTAACAAAGGTGCTTTTTTCCGAAACTAGGTTTAAGTTCACAAAAGTCCTTTTTAAAAATTTCTATCCATCAATCATACGGTACCCACTTTGTCAAGTCTTTATAACTATGTAAAGGAAAATTAGAAAAAATATGAAATAGCGCGCAATGAGCATTTTAAATCTTTTATACATAATTAATTATTTGGTTTAAATTTTTCTAGTTTAAATTAAATTGAAATTTTGAACATATATTTTATAAATTGATGTTATAATATGTATAAGAATAAAATTTCTTGTTAACTTAAAAAACTAATTTTTAAAGTCCACCGTCCCCTTAAATAAACGTTTTTTAAGTGTTAAAATAAATTGTTTCACTTTTAGTTTATAAACTATAGCATTCTTTCTTGACTAACTGTCAATCAATAGGAAACAGTTTGAATAAAGTCCTAAGATCTTGAACTGATTTTCTGCTTTTTTGCAATTTCTACGTGCTAAAAAAGCAATTTCCTAATGACAAGAAAACTCAAAGGATTTCACAAAATATGTAAGGAAAACCAAATGGAAAACTAGTCCCTTAAAATCGTGAAGAAATGTGATTCTTCTTTAGGAGGATAAAAAAAGCTCTCATGGAAGAGAAAGAAATAACGTGAAAGAGGAAATATAAATAAATAAATAAATAAAATACTTACTCTGACCTTTCGCTGTGGACGAGAAAATTACAATTCAACCTGTAATTCAAAAAGCATAAAACAACACAATATTTTTCCCATCAGCTACGCCAAGTATAATTAGATACGCAGTCCTTATGATGCATAACTGGAATTCACTAAACCTTCAAGTTGAAAAACAATATAAAATATATAATTCACAGGAATTATGTCAGGTTGAACACTTCAATTAAAATACAGCGAAATGTCATTTACAGTATGTATGTTGGCGAAGAAAGAAATAACAATGAGTGCTAGTAATACGGTGTTACATCTTTCAACCACATACTAATGCTGAGCTTTTCACCGTCAACAAATTTGATACACAAAAACCTTCGAGAGATTTTCTGAATAAGAAGTTTTTTAAGCTTGCAAAACATTCATTTAAAAATTTGACAAAAGACAGCATAAAACTGTTATCATAAATGGCAAACATATATTTTGGCATAAAAACATAAACCATTATTATTGAAAGGTTTGAAGTTTTCAATGGTTAACTTCTTAATGTCTGTCTTAAAAAAGAAGCTATACTTCTTGCAGAAAAACCTAAAAATTCTGAATCTGCATTTGGAAAAATTTACACTTTTGTTGTAAGTGGACCGTTGACTGTAAGGACTTGGAAAAATTATGTTAAATATACCTACCTTGCAAAAGATGAGCTTCTGCTTTCCACTAATTTGTCATAGCGTACTTTTTCATATGACTATAGCGTGAGCTGCGTTTCCCTTACCAATAGTCCATGTCACATAACATTACTAGACAATTTTATACATATATATTTTGGTTCATTTACTATCTAAAGATATGGGAATCACAGGATTCATGTCTTCCGTTGTTTTTGTTTCACATGATAGCAACAAACGTTTATACACCCAAATCAAGTTTATTAGATTCTTATTGCTTCTTTATTCTTTAACTCTGTATCATTTTTAGGTTAACTATACTTAAATAGGAAGCTTTATTGAGTGATTTATGTAATCTATTGCGGTTCGCTACATTATGATTTAGCCGAAATCTACCAACCTCATCAAATTAGATTATGTCTATGTGCCAAGGAAAACTTCTATCAATTGATTGGGAAGTGCATGTATATTAATTTTCTTGTTTTCTTTCAACAATTTAAATTTCTCATCAGAAACTCAATTTTTATTGTAAATCAACACAGTTTATCTCGCATATAAATGCTGAAGTGTTTTGCGTTATGTATATCTGTGTGGTCCGTGTGGCAGTTATGTATGTCTGTGTGGTTTCTGTGTGGCATCTCTTGCATTTGTATGCCACACACATTCTGTGTGGTATATAAATGCTAAACGTTTTCCTTCTCGTTTTTCAAAATTTACACTGAAGGAGATTATTTAATTTATTTCTACAAGAATCAGTACTAGGTCTCACGTTTTGCGGTACACCTAGCAGTTCTTACGACTTATCATGCTGAGGCTCATTAAGCAGAATTACCACAGTTTTTCCCATTTAAATACAAAATTCCATACCCTGAAACAGTAACTGTTTGTTAAAAATACAAGTACTGTAGGTTCATTTTCATTTTACTTCTTTAACGGAAAGAACTTAAACTAGTAGCTATTACCCTGTTAGCCATTTTTGAGATGTTGTTTAAAAATACAAACTCTATATTTAGTTAGTTTATTAATTACTTTTGAAGTTGGGACATGATCAATCTAATGAAACCCTAACAATATGTTTTAAAGTATTTTGCCTTTCATTTAGATTTTCTGAAGAAACAAAATCGTTCAACCTGATACTGAATATTCTAAAGAATTAAAAGAAAGTTAAAAGGAAAACTTACGGAGCTGTTTCTTTTCTCTGTTTATTTAAATTTTCAGAGTCCTGAAGGAATGTCTTTATTAAAAAGAAGAACGCATCAGAACGCAATTTTATTTAATCGAAGGACGCTGTGACTTGCATGAAAAAATTATCAGCGGATGAATTAATGATAAAGATTATACAAGGAAATAGTTCGGAGCCTGTGATCTGACTTGGTGATAATATGATGTGGTTTTCCAAACAAGTTTAAGGAGACAGAGAAAAATGCGATTTTGCGGAAGAAAGGAAAGAATCGAAAGATTTTCGAGGGAAGAAAATATATTAAGGATTTTTGAAATACTTGAAATGGAAGAGTACCTATTATTGCCTTAGTACCACAACTATACTGAATATAACAATATTTTCGAATTCCAAATATTGAAAAAAAATTGTGTTTCCCTCCTGCGTAATGTTTATTGCATATTCTATATTCTAACGCACATGGTAAACTCGCAGAAATAGACTGCCTTTACTGCTATTAAAAATTTTAATTTGCCATTATACTGGTTTTTAAACTCTCTCCTTCGTTAGTTTGCAAATTTACATATACTACACGCTTGTGTTTATTATTTTTGAATAATAAGCATACTCAAATAATGGTAGTTACGTATTTTGCTCTAAGGAGATTCAATTTGTATTTAGGCATAAGTTATAAATTTCACAATATTTTTTACCAAGAGACAATGCATTTCTGCTACTGTCTCAATAAATGGAAAAACTGCTTTTTAAATTGTTTTATAATCTTTAGTTTTGAACGCACCATATAATATTTTGAGTACATTAATTTATTTAAAACATTGAATTTGAATAGAATGCAGAACAATAATAATGTACTTTTTTGCAATCATGTACGAAATATGAAATGCAAATTTCTAAAATCTATCTAACAAAAGCATGAAAAAGTGCGTTTGGTTTAAAATAATCATTTCATCATTCAAACCAAAAAATTCTATATAAAGAAATGCGAAACGATTTGCACGATTATTTCATACGGAAATAAGATAGAAAAAAACTGTATTTCGTTTCTCAAATTTCCATAACATTTAGACTATGTTATCCACATAGATACACAGAGTGTTCGAAAAGAAGTGAATACAGAGGCAGTTCAGATGTCAGAATATGAAGTCAAGCAAGACGGCACTTACGTCCAAACCAAAGATTCCATATATTTTCCTTCGCCATATGCTACAAGTAGAGTTCCCGTATTTTCTTTAGATGAACGAAGTTCAGGGGAGAGCAGTACAGATGGCAGATCGACGCTTCACGACATAGAAAGACCATACGATGTTCCATTTGCTGTTAAACAGGTAAATTAGTTTTATTATTACTCGATGAAGTCTAACTTTGCAATGGCTAAATGAATCAAATTCCTTGACTAATAACAAATTAATTTCGCAATGACAAAGTAATCGTTGTTTGCCAAAATTAACTCTCGTAAAGAAGAAATAGACTATTTCAGAGTTCAAAAGACCTTCTTTGAAAAACAGCCAATATACATCTTTAATTAAATAGAATATTTAAAACGCTAAAGTAACAGAATGTTTCCAGTTGTTCTGTACTAGTCCAGTTTGGTAAATAGGCTACCCCTCATAGCTGTTTTGGTATTAACACATTCCAATTAATGTTACAAGATGTTAAGTATTAACTTTAAAAAACATACGTTTTCCTTCATCTTTATGCTTAAAATACCAAAGTGCCCGTCCCTGTCTATTACCTGTCGCCTTCATTTCCTCCTCTCTACGTCCACTATAGGTGTGAAGATTTCAAATGCCATTCTTTCTTTTTCCTAACAAAGAAGCTTCCATTAGCCTTTTACGACAAAATGTCTGCAATAAAGTGATACAATGCATTTGAGGAAACTACACGTGATACTGCATACCTTAGGGGATGGGAAGAAAATTACAACGCAATCTCGGCCGTTTCGGGCGGTTGTGATCGTTTGAGTGAAAGTTCGTCTCTTACGTTTTACTTTTCAAAGAGTAATCGCACTTTTTCCTTAATTACATACTGCTTGACAGCGGATGCTGTTTGAATATAACCGCCTATTATTCGAAAAAGACGCTATCGTGTAATGAATGCTTTATTCGAACACTAGATTAATTAAAAATTCACCTGTCCGTAATTATACCATAAGTATATTATGAACCCCTTGCACTTGAGGTCTTTATCGCTCGGGTGACTCAGCAACTCGAGACAAGTTTGGCTATATTAGTGAAGATCTAATACAGTTATAATTTTTCTAAAGCTATATTTCTTTTTTGTTCAATCGAATGCTCTGCTGAGACTAACTAAACTAAGCTAAAAATTTGGCTAAGGACTCAAGCCAAGATTGGTCCACGAAAGTACTTCAGGTAAGAGTATATTATCGCACTTCGTAAATAAACAGATCGAGTTCCAGAACGCCGTAGCGCCGATACAGATCACATCAAGTGGACGCCACAAACATCCTGGGCGCCGTAACGGTGCCGTTCGAATGTAAAGAATTAATTATATTTAAGAAATCAGGTTGTTCGAAATTGTAACTACGAGTATTACTCATGTTAAGCTGTAAAATCCTTAAATAAACTAATAGTATTTGGCTGTAAGAAAATTAAATTTTCTCACATTTGTGTTACAAGTGTTTATACTATTTTATTTAGTCTATTACGTATTATTTTATACATGTTATTGCTTATTGTAATACTAAAAATATATTGCTATGATAAGTGTAAGAGTTTTAAGTAATGAATATCGAAGATTGTACTCTAAAATAACGAACTTGCATTCTTTGTTGTTGTTATTTATATCTACTGTAGATAATATTGACTACTTAACACTATTCTGAAATACGAAATGTATATCATAAAAACCGATATTATCCAGAGGACATTATTCGAACTTTTAAAGCAGAAATATATTTTATTAAAATGCGCGTTTCTGGAAACAACATATCCATAATTTAGCATGTTTTACTATCCAGTAAAATAATTACATATTATTGGGAAAGTAATTGTAGCTAGCTTCCAGCGAACTGCATGCAATAAGTTTCTTTATTTTTAAATTTGTGTTTTTTGCTACTTAATTTTAAGGACTATAAAAGCTAACTATTTTTGTCAAAGTTTGGACAAAGGAATTTTTAGTAAATGCATAGTATTAAAATAGTTTCTAGTTTGATGTAACTATATGCATAAGGTTCATACTTCATTGCTGTGTTTTAATTTTATACATTTGCATTTATAGACATTGATTTTATACATTATACGTATATATATATATATATATTTTCTTTAAAGAAAGAATAAAATAACATTATTTTATATTAATTACATAAATAAGAAAGCTGCTTTCAACGAAGGTGAATTATGAATAAAAATGTATTGTTCTTAGTATCCTGTAAATTAGAATGAAATAATTTTCTTTTTTTCTTAGGCGAGTAACACGAAACATATGAAAGGGGGTAAAGCTCTAACGCAATCGGAAGTTGAGCACATGTACAGTTTTCCAAGTAAGTAATTATTTTAAATAAAAATTTCAAGTATGTACTTAAAATTAAATTCTTAAGAAACTCACTTATGTAACTGTGAACTTTACTTATGAAACTATTAATTGCAAGTTTTTGTAAAATATGTGAAATAATTAATGCCGTATAAATAGTGCTAAGTAACACTAAGTAATGTACTTACTAAAGGGTACGTATTAGATAAAACTGATCTATTTATTTGGTCTTCTGTAGAAAAGTGTTTTAAGCATTTATTAACAATTTTGATTCAACAAAATACCTCAAATTTACAGATTAATAAGGAAACTTTTAGTTTCAGAAAAACATACTATAACTTGCATGTGGCCTAATTATATATTTTATGGCCTTATTCCAGCTATAATATTATGATCTAATTCCAGCATAGAAACTGTCAAGATAATTCCTAATTATATATACAATGAATAAATACGTAAATGTAATAAAAACAATTAGATCAATGTACGTCATATATATATATAATATATAATATATATATATCTATTATATATATATATTTATATATTATATATATAAATTTAACAAATTTAATATATTATATACATATATATATATAATAAATTTAAACAAATTTAAATTAAATTTTAACAAACACATATAAAAGTGAAATTAAATTTAAATTTTAACAAACACGTATAAAAATGAATTTGATTTTTTTGGAAAATGCTGGGTTTTTGAATTATTCTTCATGTCTTTGTTAATTTGGTTCTGAATTCTTATTTTTGTTTTATGATTCATTATATATATATATATTCATTATATTCATTATATATATGAATATAATGAATATCTATATAAGAATATATATGAATATATATATATACTTAAATAAATGTAGACAAAAAAGGCGTTCAGAATTTTCGGATGGACTATTACAATTAAATTATTTAAGATGGTTCATAAGCTAATTTTGAGACAACAGAAACGAAATGGTTTTCCTGGGAGGGAGGGACTTAGTTGAATCTGATCTACCTCCTCTTGATAACGTCAAATCAGACTTTAATTGAATTCCTCTGTCTATCTTTTTCTGTTTTTCTATTAGTTTCGGAAATTATTCTGGTTTGAAAATAATTTGATATTTTTTGGAAAATGCTGGGGTTTTGAATTTATTTCTTCATGTCTTTGTTAATTTGGTTCTGATTTCTTATTTTTTGTTTATAATTGATTCATTTTTAGCAGCATTTTTCGCGGGAATAATATTGGTATATTTTGTTTTAAAATAATTATGGTACTATACATACATACATACATATATATATATATGTGTGTGTGTGTGTGGGACATTTCTTGTATAAAAATATAAAATTCAATTAAGATAGACACATAATGAATCCTTCAGACAGAATTTTTTTAATATTTCTAAAAAAAAAATAACAGAAAATAACAAACAAAACAAATGAACAGGTACAAATTAAGAGAAAATAGACCTCGTATTTGGTGAAACGAATATTACTTATTCGTTTTCATTAAAATGACAGCGACCAGTGGATAATTTGAGGCATTATCTAAGATAACAAAATCTGAGAATGTTAATTCATTTTCGATGCTGTAATAGTTTGCTATAGCGCAACTGTATTGGTGAATCAATCTGCAGAAAAAGCTCTTACTGGAGTACCTCGAAAATGATAGATTAGTTTTGCATATTATTTTAAAAGCTCTAGGATTTTCTGCGAGATACACCAGCATTGGTTTAACTTTGAAATTTTCTTCTGCATTTCCATCGGTATGAAACGGCATTTTGAACTTTATATTAGGACATGATAGTGAGTCAGGATTGATCGATGCAGGGCTGTGCGATATATCACAGTATATGATTGCTAACGAGTGATTATTTTGTTTCGTGCCAGCGAAGCTTTCAGTCAAAACAGAACATACATTTTATAAATCAAATGTATTATGTTTTATTCTCAATCCTTAATTATTAGACAGTAATATATCTTATGTGATATAATTCATATTAATCAGTAACGAATAAAAATACGTTTCTGAAAGAATACGTTCATCAGATTTCCATTCCTCAAATAATGAGAGAAAGACGTGTTATTGCAGGAATGTATCATATATTTTTCTCAAGGCTTTACTAATTATTTGTTAATTTTGTAAATGTTCGCATTATTATGCATACAATTAGTACACATTTGGTTATCAATATATTTATTTCTAAGTGCAATTAAGTTATTTAAATTATTATTATTGATTATTACGACGGATTTTTATTTAAGCGTACTTTTGGTAACATCTACATATTTTATTTGAGAATAAAATTAATATGACAATGAGAATAAAAATTGTTTTATTTACTTTGCAATTTTTGCATATGTTTGACATTTTTCTTTCGATATGAACACTGACACGAAAATGTATTTACAGACAGGCAATCAAGTGGTCATCATCAGTCCACCGGATCTAACCGGAAGGAGTCCGGATCAGGACGTCGTTGGTCTGCGGATGTCGATGATGAATACGTCCCAGGCAATAACGATTCAAGACCCCGATCCACTGCAATTTCTTCCTCCAGATGGCAGTGCGGTACCAAACAAGGTGCTCCCTATGCTAAAACATGTCGGGATGGGTAAGACGGAGAGGGTTTGTAGATGTTGGGAAAATGCATTAAAAAACCTATCCTGAAACAAAACTAAGCGCTGTTGTATCCCTTTGTCTTCTGCATGTCCTCGCATTCCATTTTTGCTTTAATTCAGTGTGAGACGCCTAGCTTTCCATCTTCCTTTGAGTAAAAAGTATTTATTCCCTTTCCTACATTTTATTTTAGTAATTTTAATTTCCTATTTTAGTAAAACCGCAGCGTTAACGTATAAAAAATTAAGATAATGATTAAAAATATGGAACTTTAAATTCTAAACCTGAATTTAATTGTAATTTTAAATGCATGATACATTTCTATATGGCTCTTTTTTCTCCTTGATGAATTTTAAAATTCCTAAGATTCATGTTATATTATACAAGCGCTTACCTATATGAAAAAGAATTCATTATACTTTTTGTTATGAATGTTCAATCCTCCTACTTAATAGCAGCATGGAAAACATTATGAAATAATGGTTAGAATTTAGTTACGCCATGCTGTAAACTCAAAAAATAGGTGTACAAATTATCTGTATAAGTTATCAAAGATGTATTAAAGATAACTGCAGTTTCCATATAGAATTGCATTATATAGTGTATAAGAATCTAAAATTATATGAGACATTATATTCTTTTCTAAAATTGGCACGCTTAACGAGCCTAATATTTGACGCCAGTGGGATCATTTTTGTGACTAGTCAAGGCAACGAGGAAATTTCTGTTTATCTGTCTTTTGCGTTAACTACATTAACAGGGAAATAGAATTTTCTGTCGTAGAAATACTTATATAGTACTTCTTGTTGTTGTTGTGACTTATGTCACTTGTCTCAGAGCAACATCAAAACAAGTCCATGAAATTCATCGTGGCATGGAGTTTAAGACTGCGCCAGTCGTTTCCAAGAGCCTTGAGCACCATACAAGTGATAGTAATACTTTGCTCAGTTCCGCCTCCAATTTTGATGAACAGCCCCCCCCGGGTGGTCGAGTCTGAAGATCTGCTCATACCACACAGACACTATACATTTATAAACATCCATGTCTTCACCGAGATTGAAACCCAAGCCCTTCGGTACGGCACTCACTCTCCACTACCCCAGTTGTGCAGCATGTAATATTTCCTTTATGCACCCACCAACGTTTTGTTATTGTCCCTGTGATATTTCTTGCAATTGATATGGGCACATCTTATGCCATCAGGCAAAGTCTATTAATTTATATGCTCATAAATTACATTTAATCTAAATAAAATATCTTCACTACTAGAATGCAATAAAACTTACGCTCATTAACTAATTAATTATATTTATTGCAGTAATGTTTCTTCAGTGATATCAAATCTTTTAATACCCGGAGTTAGAGTGAAAATGCGTTTTTACATATCAGATCAGTTCATATTTTGCTTCTACTTGTAATTCAACTCGAAATATTTAACATTTTTACAAAAGATATAATGTTAATAATAATTGTTACATGAACTCCGATTGGTGTATATTTTAATCCATAACCAGTCGGGGTAAAATTTTGAATTCTGAAATGATAATCAATCTAACAATCTAATCTAACTATAAAGTTAGATTTTAATCAATCTAACTGTAAAGTTAGATTGATTAAAATATTAAAGATTAAGATCTAGAAGGATATGAACGACTGAAATAGCTTATTGCTGCTTTATATACAGGCGTATATAGTCAGAAAAAAATAACTTTTTCCTTTTCTCTAACTTCTCAAATAATGGAATTTAAGCTTCGTATTTTTAAACAGCTTTCTTTGTATAATGTATATTCCAAAATGACTTGTAAATTTGCTGTTGCAGCATTTCTTTATTCGGTTCCTAAATTAATTTCCTTTCAGCATAGTAAACTGGAGTATTTATTACTGAGTAAGCGGTGCTTGCAATTTGTTGTTTAAAAAATGCCTTTTCCATTTAGCTAAATTCCCCATTATTCGAACCAGTTGATACAGTTTCCGAAAGAAGCGTTTTAGAAAATAAGACGAAAACTTACATATTTTACTTAACAGATTAAGTTAAAAAATAATCATAACAAACACATTATTTCTTTTCGTGCATACTATTAACCATATGAAAACTCTAAAATTTATTAACTTGTTATAATAACCTTCTACTGCTATGAGAGAACAAACATACACAGGGTGTTTGGAAACTCATATGCAAAAATTTAAGAGGTGATAAAGATGCGTATTAGAAATGCATTCACGCGTAAAGGTGCATTCATCGGTGAATAACACATGTGCACTTTAAATCAGGCTGCGGTGATAGCTGTTGAAAAAACAAAAGTATTATGCTTATGTATAATTAAAAGTATTATGGTTATACATAATGCAAACTCTACTCTTGATGTAGGTAGGGTAATCCTTCGTCCCGTAACACTCGCCAAACAAGTGAGTGGAGCACATTTGCAGCACGGGAAACCTCTCGCGAGCTAATATCCGGACGCTCTTCCACTCTTTGCAAAATGTCCTCTACAGCTTGTGACGTCCGCACACTCCTGCCACGAGCTGTATCATGCATGGCAGTGACAAAAAATCATGTTTCAAATAAGCACCAAAGCAGTGGCTCGAACATTTTTCGGTCTGATTCTACAGTCTTTCGGCTTTCAGATCATTCCTATTCTCAAGACCATACATAAAAGCCAGATCCGTCTTTTCCTGGTTACTGAACGTCGGTTTGCTCTACTGAAATCCACACTAGAAATGACGATGTATCAGGAATAGGCTGTATGCTTTCCATTACAGTTGCGTCTAGCGGTTCAGCGCTTGATCTCCGCGATATGGTGAAAACTGCTCGTTTAGATGTTTTGTAGCATCACTTAAGTTTTTGCCCATGAGTATCGAAACATCCTGTAGTTTAAGCAAAAAAAAAAAATTTTTTTTTTCTTTTTCAAAGGAAAATATGCGAGTGTATATGTCAAAGGTACGGAGGATTTTATAAGTTCTTGGATTGGTTGATTAAAACCCATTAATCACCAACATTGCGTTTTCGCAACATTACTCGAAACATTTTTTTTTTTTCGTCTTCTGTATAAAGCTTTTTTTTTTTAATTTTTTTGATATACTGTAGACATAACTTCATTGTTTTTAGGTTAAAAAAAGCTGCTTCTCTCACACTATTTTTTTTTTAATAAATTTTCATTTTGATACATTTTTTGCTAAGTTTTCCCTTTGAGTAGATCTCACTTCTAGAAACATAATTGCATTAAATATAATTTAATGCAATTATATTTAATGCAATTGACTTTATAATGTTAACTTCTAATTGCATTAAAAGGAAAGGTTATTATTTTACTTTTGTTGGCAAAAATATGCATTTTTTTAAATGCTGCGAAAACGCAATGTCATTCCAAAGCAGTGTCTTTGTGAGTATACACAGATTTTGATAGATGGTGGAATTTTCTTTTGCACATTCCACAAAACATCTATTCCAAAATAACGAATATCCAAGTCAACGGTTTTTAACGTTGAATGAAGCATTATAATATATGACGGATTGGATAACACTGAAAAACTGGCTAAGGTTCGTCTCTATTTAAATATTTTAAATGCCAGTTCATGCCATTTGAGGGTTTTTTCAATATATCTTTCTATAAATGAGAACATGATACCTTATTTTGGTAAACATTCATGTAAAATGTTTCTGAAAGGACAACCCGTTCATTTAGAATACCAAATTTGTGTTTTGTGTTCCTATGAAGAGTGCTTATATCATTTTGATATATATTTAGGAAAATCTTCAAAGACATTGATTGGTTTTGGAGTAGGTATATGCTGTAGTAGTGGAAGTTTCTTCAAATCATTACGTACGTAAATAAGTTACGAAAACGTTTTCAAGTCACACACGTTGTTATAGGAATAGAATGAGCTGAAATTTTATGCGGCTGAAGCAATTCTTCAGAAGAGATTAAGAAATGGTCCTATTACACCTAAACAAAATGACAAAAGAAGAACGTGAAACATATGACACTGCATTTGATGAAGATAACTCTTAAAAATTATTGAGAAACTCGTCGGAAAATACAACAAATATATGGATGGCATGACCTTCTGAACAATCTTATTGCGATGTATACTGTAGCGTGCTAGTAAAAAGTAAGAAATGGTGGTGGTCGATTTTTCGGAAATTTATTTATGTAGCTAAATCAAATGTATGGACATTTTATTAGATTGCTGTAGACCCCAAGATGTCCCTGTCAGATTTTCAAGTTGCGCTCGGATTGCTGAATATAGGCAAAATGTTTCTGAAAATTCGCATTCTGCTTCACACAGTGATTATCTTAACCGACCATCTTTCTTTCAGCATTTATCCTCTAGTGAAACCAAAAAGGATCCCATAAATCATATAATCGAAACAAAATCAAAAATTAAAAACGCGAAAAGAAAATGAAAGCTTTCAGATTTTATGTTACTCCTAAGGAAATTTTGTTTTTCATTTACACATACATATACGTTTCTAGAGCATTTGGACATATCTATAAAACCAGCATATCTATAAAAATTCCGAGTTTCGCTGCTGGACGTAAAAATGTTTTATTCCGTACAGTGTGTTGCCATTGCTCGCTCTGAACTCGTCGCGTTTCTTAATCAAAAATTCATTAAAGCTTAAAAAAAAAATATGAAAAGAATAGAAAAACAAAGTCGAAATTCAAGATTCGATAAACAAATGGAGAATCGTTTTGTAAATTTCTTTTCAATAAAAGACGTTTTAGTTTTACGATGTATAACCTAATGTCCTTTACTGTGTTTTTTTTAATGTAAGAGCATTATATTCTGTACGCATGTATATCTGTACTTACATTTAAAAAAAAAGGGTTTTTAATAAATAATGATTAGCTTTTTAATAAATAAATTTTAATTTTATTAAGTCTGCGGTACAAACGAAGATAAAAAGAGAGGCAAGATTTTATCAAATGGTATTTATTACAAAATATACAAAACAGCGGCAACACTGAGGGGAGACAAACCAATTATCTCTATTGTTGTTGTTACTTATGCTCACTTGTCTGACAGTAACATCAGCCCAAGTTCAACTCCTCGTGGTAAGGAGCGCAAGGTTACGCCTCTTGTTGGCAACAGCCTTGAGCACCTTACAGGTGACAGTGCGATTTGGCTCAGCTCTGCCCCAAAATTTGATGGCAAGCACCCCGGAGTATGGATCCGAGGTTCTCCCACTCCTCTCCTCTTCCTCCAAGCCACACGAGAGGAGTTTCGGCTCCCCGCATATTTGGAGTGCCGCCATGCCGCACCGACACACAAACATCCATGCCTTCTCAGGAAATTCGAACCCGAGCCTTTTGGCACGGCAGACAGCGACGTTAACCACTACACCGGTTGGGCGGCTTCCAATTATCTCTATTTATATTGATTGTTGTTAATTATCCCGGAATATCTGGAATACTGTGTTATGCGCATGATAAGTAATTTAAGTGAATAATGCTTGCCAAAATGAGAGGCAATTTTTAATTTTTTTCAAAAATTGCAATTGAGGAAATTAATAAATGGTGCTCGACATATATACATATGCAGTTGTCTCCAGAATTTTAATTTTGTCTTTTTTAGTTAACAGACTACAAATGTTGTGAGGTAAATGTATTAACTTTGGGATATTTTTCGCAACAAATATTGAGTTTAATACCTATGTGAACTTTGCAGCCACATGGGGAAATTGAGGCAAATTTAGGCGAGGATGGGAATTTATAAGGAAAGATTATAAATTTTTTAGTGTATGAGGTATTTCTCCCACCTTCCCAGCATGCATTCGTGGTGTGGCGGTCTGCAGACTGGACGCCTATCCAGAGGTATCCGATTCCTGGCGAAGGCATTGCTCATTTTTGATCTCGCCTGCTTCCAAAAATACCTAATATCTCTACAGTGGCGACCGAACTAAAAAAGGGTGTTGCATGATCATTCTTCACACCCAGGATTTGGCGATTAGGTTCCTTAGAAACACCAGTCGCCCTTTAAATGGGGAGTATCTAAGATATTTCTCCCACCTTCTTAGCATGTCTTCGTGGTGTAGTTGTCTGCAGGCGGGGAGCGTATTCCAGAGGTCCGTGGTTCGATTTCCGGCGAAGGCGTTGCTCATCCTGCTTCCAATTAAGCTATTGTCTCTACAGTGTCGCCCGAACTAAAAGGGTGGTGTATGATGATTCTCCCAACCCAGGATTTGACGATTGGGTCCCCTAAAACTCCCAGGGGAGAGTATATAAGGCATTTCTCCCTCCTTTTGGTCTGCACGCTGGGCGTGTATCCATATGCCCGCAGTTCGATTCCCGGAGAAGGAGTTGCTCATTTTTTCAATTTGCCTGCTTCCAAAAATAACTTATATTTCTACAAGTGAATATGCTTAGTTTCGTAGAAAGTGTTAAGGACTTTATAAGTCTGATGAAATATAAGAACGTTTCATTAATATCCATTTTAGAGGTATAAAAGCAATCGGAATGTATTAGTAGACATTAGCAGAATGTTCTTCCTCTCTTTTCCTGTTTCTTATATAAAATGAGCTAACACAAATCATTAATTTAAGGAACTACACTTTGCCTTTATATGTTTGTTTTAGTCGAATTGTGGTTTTTATAAAACTTTACTTTTTAATTTCTAGGTATGAGGAGGATGATGACTGTGGAAGCCCCTTTCATGTACCCGGAGCACGTGACATAGGAGAGAGTAGTGATGCTGAGTGTGACAGGGACCAGATTCTATACGTCCATACCGACGCAGGTAAGTTCTCAAACACCAGAATCGCGAAAATTTGTCTAAACTTAAAACCGCAATAAAGGCCATTGTGATAGCTCTTAGGAAAAAAGTATGATTAATACTTATAAAAATTTTCTTCTGATCTATTAAAGAGAAAACTCAAATATACACCTAAAAACACACACTAAATTTAAATCCTATGAGAAATTTTTATTTAACCCATCGCTCTTTATATCAAATAAATACAATTTAAAGCTTTAAAAGCTCAAGACTTCTCAGGCTGTAAAAATTGTATCACTGAATATAATTAAATTTTCCTTCATTTGCATAACCTATGAAAAAACATGTCTATGTTTCAGTGTTTCAGTGTTACTTAGAAAGTTCATGTCTATGTTTCAGTGTTACTTAGAAAAATCAATCAAAAACCGTACTTGATTTACTTTCTGGAGACTTTTATTAGTGGCCCCAGAAATTCCAGTTAATATCTTAGCATATTCACGTATCGCAGTGTGATGCATTTTTAAAGTTTTATGCGTAGGTTACTGAACTTTTAGCGTTATTATTTGTGTAACTGAAGATTTTATGGGCTGCAGTAATTCGTCTTTTCTTGAAGATTTCTTCTCATGATCTCCCTTGGGTGTCATAAATCAAGCTAGTATTTGTCACTCCCGTTTTTTTCAATGGCAAAGTATACTTTTTCTTCTCGCCATAAAAAATGGCTACATCATTATTTAGTCAGAAAAAGATAAAAAATCTGTCGGTTTCCTTAATATTATCTTGCCTCCGATCTTGTATTTGATGGTGAAGAAATGGGAGATGTCGTTTATATTTCTGATCTTATATTACTCACTTTTAAACGATTTCTAGCCGTTGATGAATGGAAGTAAGTAATGCTTTGCCAATAGAATTTTTTACACTATCTGATAAGCGCTTAATCACAATTGCAAAAGCTAAGTGTTTTGACTAATCTTTTCTAGCTTGATTATATTGTTGCACACGTACGAGTTCGTAATAGATTGAATGCACACAGGTCTCTGATGACAGGTTGTTAAAATTTATTTTGTCAAAAGAAACACTTCATATTTCTGGAACTTTCCACAAAAATACTCGCACAGGTGTGCACAGTATTACAGAGTTCCTCAAGCCTTCCCAAAATGATTTTAATAATGTCCATGATGTCGTATTCTGTAAATAACTTATTAATTTTAGAAACTACCTTAAATATGTCAGTAAACATAACAGTAATGCTCTCCGAGCTGTTTGCAGTTTTATTTATAGAGATAGTTTTCCTCTTAGGTGTACGAACTTTAGGTGTATTTGCCGGAGATTTTTCCAGAAACTTCTCTGCATGTTTAACTATTGCGTCATCACGTGGCCCTACTTTCTGAAGTTTATCCTATTTTTTTTAAACGTTGGAAGGGTTTTGGGGGCACTTCGAAAATTTGGCTGCGTGTTCACTTCTACAACTCCAACACGTAAGCTGCGGAATCTAGCCTGACTGTCAGAACTTTTGTGGGGCAGTGCGTGCAGATTTTTAACCACGGAGCGAGTTTGTACTTTTCGAGGAATGGTAAAAAAAACTTACCATTGTAGCACTGGGCCACACGACCTTTGAAAATGCACGGTTCTACTCACATAATAAAATGCATTAATTTAACACCATCATAAATATATTTACCGCTTGGCTGATTTATCAGCTGCAATTGAAACAATGGCACAGGAACTCGGATCCTAAATTTAATTATTTGCGCAACCTTTTTATTGAGTATGGTGCTTAAGTTCCTGTTTAATTCAAAATTCTTCAATTCTTTAAAGTTGATTTTATACGCTTTTCGTGCTCATCGCATTCAAAAAGTTTCCCATTTTAGAAAAATTGATTATAATTTATAAATCTTATTTTTCAATGTTAAGCATATTATCTATTATGTTTAACAGAATGTTTTCTCCTTTTGGATTCTAAAATTGCTTCTCTAACTTTAAATATAAATTTTAATTATAGTAGAGTTCCGCAAACTCGATCCCGATATTTCGACAGTCCATACAGCTCGACAACATTTTAGGACCTTTTTTAAGCTATCTCTAGGCCAAACAGAGAAAATATTGCATATAGTGCATAAAATTATTATTTATGCGTATGTCTTTCTTGTTCCGTTCAAAGATTTGAGTGTTCTTTTTCTGTAATTTATGCCATTTTCGCATTGCACCATTAATACTTGGAACTGCCTAACAAATTTCAAGATATGCTTTGTATACTTGGCAACGTTGTTTGCTTCTTTCGAGAATACTTTAAATGTAAATTTTAATTACAGTAGAGTTCCGCAAACTCGATGAATCAAGTCAATCAAGTCAGGCAAACTCGATCAATCAAGTCAGGTAGCGTCTGGCCGCTGGCTCACATTCCTTTCTATTGTTGCGAAATGTTAGAAGACTTGTCTGAAGTTTTGTGAACGCATCTTATTGCAAACTAAACCCATACCAGGTCATTGCGGGTGTCGATCCTCAGTTCACATTCAGGCGTATAAGTATTACATATTTTTGGGAACTTTCGATATTTTGCCAAGTGAAAATGTCGTTCGAAAAGAAAGCAAAACAAATGACAATGAAAATGAAACTAAATACCTTAAAAGAGACAGGGCAAAGGGGAAAGCGTATCCTGGATTAAAATTATCCTGGATTTAGGCGTTGGACATTAAGGGGGTCTAAGAGTTCTGGAAAGAGAGAGAGAGAGTTAAGAGTTCCGAAAAAGAATTAAGAGTTCGGAAAAACTTACCTCTTTTTCCGTAAACCTCGAGTTTTCCGAAGCTCGACAGTCTCTCAATCCAGATTATGTCGAGTTTGCGTGACTCTATTTGTATTTAAATCTTTCTCAAATTATAATGCTTGCAAGCTATAATACTGACTTGTTTGACTAAAATACTAAACCTGTTTTAATAACATTACTTTATGATTTTAGGTTCCTTTATAAGTGCTAAATTGCCGTACCATATCGCCTTGGGAAAGCAGGTTATGTTCCCCTCCAGGACAAGAATTGAAGCCTGAAGCATTTCGGCCCAGCACATATTGAACATGACTAACAAGCTGTCTCGTGTTTAATGTACTTTATGAAGATAAGGACTTCCAACTAATTCTGTAAATGAAATATAAAGTTGAATGTGAAAATGCTGCAATAAATGAAAGAATGTTATTTTGTAACTTTCGATGCTATTGATCAGTGTTGATCAGCATCACAAGTGATTCAGACACTTGTAAATATTAAATGTTTGAGTTTTTTAATAATGTGATATATCGCCAAACAGAAATCATGTCATCAAAGCCTAATCTTTTCCTCCTCATTTAATTGGAACTGTGATGAAAGAACTAAGACAATTTATATGAAAGGTGTGATAATTAGAAACTGAAAAGCTACCTATATGGTGCATAATTTCAAATAATTCTCGTGTGTGAAAACAATAAACAATTATAATGTTTGTCACTTTTTAAATTTGATATGCATTTGAATTTTCAAGTTTTAAAATTAGAAGCATTTTATGATTTTAAATGTTATTTATGTAAGAGATATACAGTTTTGTACGTGTCGTGTATGCAGCAAAGACAGATTTAAATACCTTTTCTCTTTTTTTTTGTAAATTAATTCAAAATTACGAACTCGAGTTAATTTAACCAAAATGTCTAAACAGCTTGGTTTCTTAGCGTGTGAAATCAGTGTACATATTTAACATTTTAGGTAATTAATATATAGGTTATTTTATTTTATTTTACTTTATTTATTATCCCAAAGGAGCATTAGCTCACAAGAGCCATTAGTCTTGAAACGGGATGTTACGTTGCATCACTATAAACGGCTGAATCACCTTGTTGCCACCAAAAATTATCGCCGTATATTATATTAAAAAAATTAAATAATGAATAATCTACATGAAAGAATATATGATTCTCGCATTGTGAAAAAAACGACGGTACTAGAGCGAAATTTTGAATAACGTAATCCTCCATTCGAAAATGTCACCTAATTTTGAATTTCGATTTTTTAAGTAGTTAATTCATATTTTTTTAACATTTAGAAATTTCTCATTAACAAAACGATTTCAAAGCGAGAAATGGCCACATTGTATGAAAGTTTTTATTTCAAGCATGCGAGACTGCCTATCGGAAATTCTAAAGATACACTGTTTTCAAATATTTTATGGTATTGCTGTTGAATAGAATTTTATGTGATTTAAGTGCGAAGAACATGATATTTAATAAATAAAAATAACACACAAAGCGTTAAAAAACGCCATTTTGTGCGTTATATAAAATTTGAAACCTATTTTTTTCTTCTCTTTTGTTCTTTTTTGTTTTTAAAGAAATATATATTCCTTTAGTTAGTCTATGAATCATGATTTATTTTCACAAACACATTAAAATAATTAAACATCCTTTGAGAAATTTGTTTTCTTGCTTGACAACTAACACTTTTTGTTCATTTTACTCCCTAATTGGCTTCACCCTTATTACCTTTTACACACAAACATTCTTCAGTTCTCACTTGAGATGATCTTTTGTTTGGAATGTGTATAATAAATCAACATTTGTCACTTTTTTCAACGTAACATAATAGGCACATGAATTTGTTTTTATAACAGTATCTGTAATACATACATAGAGAGCAGTATAAGATATCTTAAGAATTATATTTATTTTTATCGTTTCATGATCATCAGTTTACACACTGTCACCGATATCTCAAACTTATTAAAAGTGAGTCTTATGAAAACACTATTTTTCCCCTATACTAGTCAGTTGGAACAAAGAAGGAAAGATTTTCCCTAATGTAATATTGGGATATTTAATTAATGGAGCACATGAAAATTTTTTTTTTCATTAAACAGAAACAGGACATTTGCGTTTTTCTTTCGTTTTATAAATACTGTAAAAAATCCAAAAAGTTAAAACACATCCTTATTTTAATAAATTATAATTTTATGTTCCTGAAAATATTTAACTTCTGCATATGTCATAGAAAATACAAAAATCTACGTTTGTATATATTTAGGAGTCCCTACTTTGTTTACAATATCAGGTTTCGGAAACTCTAAACAAGTGATTTTTAAATGATCTTGTAAACATTACCTAATTCCATGTAAGCTCTCCATGTTAGTTTACTTATATTATAATAACGAACTGCATTTATTTTGAAATCAATAGTCAAATTAAGCAAGGAATTTAATTTAAATAGTGAAATAATTTATAAATTTTCAGCTGCACATTATGTTAGTATAATGTCTTGTCTTATTCTTCTTGCAAGATCATACATACATTTATAAAAATACACATAAAGAATTCCAATGTAAAAGAGTTACGTATTTATAGAGTCATTGTACCTTTATATAGTACGTTTTTAATGGGTAATTTTTAATAATGCGTAATTTACATTTATGGCACAGTAGCTAAATAATAAAGAAAGACGTATAGTGAGTCAAAATTCAAATTAAAAGGGTTATAAAATATAATAGAGAAAGCATAGCGAAGGTTTTTAAAAAATGCATTTTACTGTTTAAGGGGACGGTGGACTTTAAAAATTATTTTTTTAAGTTTTCGTTTTTTCAACAAGAAATTTTATACATGTACATCTTATAGCATCAGTAAACAAAATATATGCTCAAAATTTCAATTTATTTTAAATTAAAAATTTTTAAAGCAATTAATTAATTATTTTAATTAAAAATTTAAAATGCTCCATGCGCTCCAATTTTTAATATTTTTTCCTAATGTTTGCTTTATGTTACTTATAAAGGCTTGGTAAAAGTATTTGTGTATCCGTTATTGAATATGATGGATAAGAAATTTTTAAAGGCTATTTTTGTGAACTTAAACCCAAGTTTCGAAAAAAAATTTCACCTTTTGTTAAAGGTTTTCACAAGTTTAAACTTCTTAATAACCTCATATCTAAAAATGCATACACAGATCTACTGTAACATATAACAATATAGTTTCTTCCAAAATATCATCCATTTTTAACTAAAAATGAGACGCATGGAGCATTTTCAAAACACACAAATTGCGAAAAAATTTGTTTTGAGAAAAATGAATTTAAAGTTTTCCTTCAAACTTACCTTTATACATGGTCATGAGAAACAGCAAATTAACTTTGAATATAAATTTGTAAACATTCGATAACATTTTTGTAAGATTTAACTATTTTAATCTCATAATATTAAATATGACAAAAATAAACATATGACAAATTGCTAGGTGATTCGAAGTTATACAGGTAAAAACAATTTATGCCGTATACCCAATGAAATTTTTAAAAATCACCCGCACCATAGTTTTACCTTCACTTGCTACAATTGCATTATCGTTTAGTGATTTACAATATTTTTTACTATTTCTGTGTTTTTCCATGCAGGTAAAACTCTTTTTTACTTTGGTTCAAGCGACGTTGATCGCTGCTTTTTTGCAATGAAGTAGTGAAAACGAAGTTCACTTTCCTTCCTGTTCTACGCTTATAGCATTTACACAACCAAGTTAAATTCATTAATAGTTGATCTATACTGTCATTTCTAGCCTTTGTTTTTTAGAAATAAACACTTCTTAGGGCAATTGTTCCAAATTAAACTATGGATACTTTCATTAGCATTTTGTGTTTCACCAGAAATGCATCTGGACAGCAATTCTGTGCTAGCTAGCCTTTGATAAATTGGCAATATTGAGAAAGAACACTTTCAGATACTTTAGTTTTCATGGCTTTATGTGCTTTCGGCTGCTCTTCATTTGCTACTGCACGTTGATAAAAAACACCATGACAACGTACCTGTAGGACATTTCGAATGTTTGGTGAGACATCAGTGGATGAAACAGTGTTAGTAAGCTTGCATAAATTGCAGATTTCAGATTTCATTTTGTCTATATCCGGTATGTTATCTTTTATGGCCTTTCTGTAATAGTTGTTAACTTTAAAATTGTAGTTTCCCTTCAGATTACCTTCTTTTCGTCCACCGATACATATAACCTCTGGAAACGCAGCTCTTTAACTTTATTGCGCAATCCTGCCCCTAAACGTTTTGCCACATGATTGATACATTCTTCTTTACTAATTTTTACGTCATTACCATAAAGATTCAGAGTTAATAAATGTTGATATGTTTTCGCATCCCCATCAGAAAGTATCCCAACATATCGCTATTTACATGTACTGATGGACCGTTTCCATAAAATTTCTGCGGTTTCATTTCCATAGCATTAGATGAACCAGAAAAATTTTTGGAACACTCTGGTTTGTGGCTTTCAAACCATATATGAAATTCCGCACTGTCAGCATCCATATCTCTTTTCGCGCATACACATTCAGGACAAATTTTGACAGAATTTCGTAGTCGATAACTAACCCAGTCAAGACATCTACAACGATACCTATTCCGTAACAGTGATGTATGCCGACGTTTTTGCCATGTGCCATCATACGACACTGTGATATGTATACACTCATCATTATTTATGTTACTCAACTTTTTATGCTTGTTTCGAACAATATTTCGAACAAATTGAAGGAAATCACCTTTTAGTTTCCCCTTTTCTTCAGACCAAACTTTGTAAACATTTAGCAAATGTCTTTCTGTCCATAGCATGAATTCCCATAATCATGGAAAACACTTCTAAGGCGTGGCCTTTGCCTATTTTAAAAAATGCTTCGACAAGTTTCGTATTCACATCAAAAAAGTATTTGACCGTTTCATCCGCTCACTTGTAAATGTTGAACTAAATATTTTATCACAGTTTTTACAAACTAATTCAAGTTTTGTAGAATATCCATATATTCCTTTCGAAACAATATCTAAAGAGTTGGTTAAAGCACTCGTCACACTTTATATCACATAGCAGTGGATTCCACATTTTACGATTTATCAAAATATATGAATCATCATTTCGGTTATCACCACAGTCAGACGTTCCGTAATAAACTTTCATTCAGTTTCTTTACACTGGCACTTACTGAAGTACTCGCTTCAACTGTAGAACTTTCAGAGAAAAATTGTTTGTTTATTTTTGGCAAGAAACTTCTTCACTGTTCAATGTCACATCATTTTTCCGAATGAGCTGCCCATCGTTTTTCAATTTTGCTGACAGCTGCAAGTTTTTTCTTCGATGGTCGCGCTTTATTCTTACGGTAACGACGACTTATGGCATGCATAATGTACAATATAATAATATATATATATACTTTTACGGAAAAGGTTATAAATTAATCTGCATTTCTTCCAGTCCATAGAAACTCAGTTTTAAACAGCCCTGCAAAATGTAGTGGTTATAAAACACAGCAAAACCTTTTAGCAAAAGAACTAAAGAAAATAGCGAGGAAAAGCACTTTTAAACTGTAAACAGTGAAATGGCAGTTACAGTTAAAAACGTTATATTGCCAGATTTATAAAGAATTAAATATATAAGTATATAAATATCAGCAAATAACTTTGAAACATATTTGTTTACATTTTCGCCAAAAATTTAAAGGGCAAAGTTTATGTTGTTTACACCATTTTAAATGCTTGTAACTTCGTTAAAAATTAGAATATTTTGAATTCGGTTTTTACATACGATGCAGTTAAGTATATGTAATACAACGAGAGTAAAAAAAAAAATTTCAATATTTTGGTCGATTTTTAGCTTTTTCAAAGTCCACGGTCCCCTTAAATACAGCAAGTATAGAAATATTTTATTGAGGAAGCTTGTATGAGGTGTAAGTAGCAACATAAAAATGTAATGATTTAAACATGTTTTAGATTTTATAAAGCATTATTTATTGCAGTATATTATTTAAACTATAATAAAAAATCCTATTACTTTTTATTAAAATATATTAAATTAAAAAAATATGAAATACTCTTTAAACCACAAGAATTATAATGCAAAATGAACGTCTGTCTCAAATTAAAAGTCCATACTGAGTTCATGCAATATGACGTACAAATA